TATCAGTAGTAATTATTAAACACACAAAAATAACTATAAGAAAACAATTCTACGTATAAAGAAGTATACCAAACAAAGAAATAGTAATAACGTGAAAGTGAAACTAAGGTGCAAACAAACGGCTGTCCGGCATCGAACAAACATGAATTACTACAATATTCTCTTTACGGAAAATACTTTGTAGCAATTTTTTAGATAATCTATATTTAAGTATAACATTTCTTTTGTAAGTTTTGTGCTATTTATATTTAATAAATACCTGAAAACTGCGATACGCTAGACAGCATCGACAGCCCTGAATGCCTACTGTGCGATGGGTGTATCATCCCTATCGAGCATATCTCCGTATCGTCGAACTGCCACATGCCGGGAGCGAAACTAATGTCCAACTTTTGTATTTGTAACCCGAGAAACATTAATTCCCGATACAAGATTTAAAACATCAGAACCCTCTTTGAAGTTATTAACGAGGAATACAAAGGATTCTCACTTCGTTACTTCAGACTAAAATTTTTCATAAAATAGTTTTTATTTATCTGTTAAGACTTAGGGATGACTCTGAAGAGCGACAATTACTTTTTATCACACATAACAATTAAAGCGATCATGCTAAGTGATGTGCGGTGATATGTATGGGTATGGACACGTGCGCACGGCGCGGTGGCTGCGGCGCGACTGGGCTTTGCCGCCCCCACCGAAGCACACACACAAGGGGGGTGACGATGGGGCGACTTCATGGGAGGCTGCACCGCCCTACAGCCATCACAGGGTAATACTGATTAGAGTTTACTTTGAATATATTTTATGGAATTAAAATTAAATCAATCGAAAGATGGACATTATTGTTAAGCCATTTTTTTTTTCAAAGGCAAAGTATTGTATTTACCAATAATATGACATACATTTATCACTTTTGACCAAATTATATAATATGATCTACCAGTTTTTGAAATATGGATGCTTCTTATATCTTGTATTAGATTTTTCATGTAAAAATCTAGAGATAATTAACTCTGAATTAACAAGAAAATACATAAGATCTTAAAATATTAATAGTAATAACTTTTGTCAACCTACATGACTGAGTACTTCACTCACCAATTTTAAGTCACTATCTTTGAGGTTATGGGTTCCATTCCCAGTCGGGTCAATCTAAAAAATAACTTTTATACTAGTCTTTGGCATGGGTATTATGTTACCCTTGTAGTATTCAATTTCTATAATAAAAGTGCTTAGCTACTTAATTTAGGATCAGAGTAATGCATGTGATGTCTGATATTTAATTATTTTTATTAACAGCTTTATTTCCAATAAGTTTACAATGTTCATTGTGTTTATCTCCTATGCTATTTGATGGATTAATGATTCAACTCATTTTTTAAGTGTACATACAATGATGTAAAAATAAACAAGTGTTTACAGCTTTTTTTGTTTATCTGATGGCTGCTTGTTAGTAGCCTCGAAGCAACAAAATAAAGGAAGAAATTTTAATGATAATATTGTTAAATATCTTACAAAAATTTTAATATAAAATTAAACCATTCCTTTCCATTAATAGTTTTTCCACAACTAAAAGTAATCCTTTATCTATGTTAAGGAGAAAAGACGGTTCAATTTTACTAATGATACCAATTTCATAAAAGAAGATTTCAACTTTCACAACCAAAGAGGATAATAAAAAAAATCTATGCATTAAAAAACCATTATATGTGCAGTATAGTTTATTATAAAGGTTATTTTTGTTTCTGAAATAATGGCTGTTTAATAGCAGCATTTTCGGTTTTCTTTTCATTTTCTTTATGTATGGGTTTATGCAGACAATTAACACCCAATTTATAATCAAGCGGCACACGCGAAAGTGTAGTTGACTGCGGAGCCTCTAATTATCATAAACATGCAATAGAATCTCCGCTTAATGCAGCGAACATGCCTGCACATTCACTTTTATTTTGCCTAATTACCTTAACATAAATTACAAGCTTTATACTGCAAAACATAGTCAGATATATGTAGTTTTATATATTTAGTAAATACTCACCATATTCCTTGAATAATTTCTTATAATCACTAAGATCATTCTGGTCGAGCCATTCATCGACTAATGCTGTTTCGTCCTCGAATATCTCAGTCACTGCTACTTTCCCCCAATACAAAACTGAACACAAAACTAATGTTGTACCAAAATAATTAACACGCTTATACATGTTGTGTATAGTCATAACATTATTAATAAACTTAAATTAAATTGCAAACTACGGACGGCCAAGAGTTTGTTTTGGTTGACATGCATGATATTGACGTTTCTTTCTCGTTCCGTTTCACGCACAGAGTTACTTTGTTTCATGTGTGTGAATGAAATTAATACTTTCACAAGACTAACTGCCAGTTGCACAAACGTCCATTAAAACAGTCATTAGTTTATAGCGACATTACCAATACAAATTGGACATCCATTAGATCTTAAAGGCGTCATTAAACCTTAATGGAGGTTTGTGCAACTGACCGTAAGTCATATGTACTATATGTGCAAATATAAATTAATTGTATTTAATTTATACATTAGGTATATTTTTAAAGACGAAATTTAAATACTATTAGGTACTAAGTTGTTTTGCGTGCAAAAATAGTAAGTTTTGCCTAACAGAAAAGTGAAGCCGGCAAAACTACACCTCGGCGTATTCGTACACAGTTTCACGCACACATACATAACGAAACTACGCCTTCCTTATCAGTCTAACTATCGACAGCGTCCGGTACGTTTCGTTATAAAAAAAATCAAAAATATCTTAGTAAATGCCGAATTGTGTAGTGAAAGGTTGTAAAAACCATTCCACAAAAAATAAAAAGCAGGATGGAATCACATTTCACACGTAAGTATTGGAGTTTCAGTAGTTTAAAAATAAAATGTAAATTAGTGCTCGGAACACAAAACCTCGGCCAAATATTACCATCGTTAAACGTTATTATTTACCCCGAAATCAGGTAACTTTAATTTTATAACGCGTTATATCTAACAAAACAAAAATTATGTTACGTATTTTTTCAAAGCGTACTTTATTTGTTTCTTGTTGTATGGAAATTATATTTAATAAATTTTGCATTCAAAATGCTACATAGAGATCCAGATCACAGATATTGAGTGTTAGAATAAGGAAGTTAAAAATAAAAAAGGGTTTAATTTTTTACTTCTTTATTTTTACTAAACGAGTTTCGATATTTTTAACTCAAGAACAATGTGGCAGTTTGATTATAAAAAGCCACTTTGTGAGACCAATAAAAGTCAAATATTTAGTTTTTTAGACGATTTACAGAAATATATTTTAAAATTGAAAATAAAATCTGTTACCAAAAAGAAAGTAAAACGAGATGGTCGACCTATATTTCTAATCACGCGTTTTTATAAAACAGTTATTGAAGCAAAATGCAAACCAGGCTTTAAAAGCACATTAATAAATATACAAAGTCTAAAAGTGCTATACACGAAATATATTGAGACTGAAAAAAGGCTAATTTTCTTACCGACTTATAAACTAAGTCAAGATCATCTGGAAATATTATTTACATCAATCAGAATGCACGGAGGCTTTAATGATAATCCAAATGTAAAACAGTTTAAAGGAAGTTACAAAAAGATACTGTCACATTTAGAATTAAAGAGTCTTTCGAAAGGTAATTGCGTGCCTTTAGAAAATATAGCAATTCTTAATTGTACTTCAACGACTCAAATTATAAACAGCACTTCGTTGTCTTACAGACACGAAGAAGAAGAATGCAATGAGACGTCTTCATTGCAACTTCTTCGAGACATTGTCAATGAATCCGTAGATTTAGCCAATCATTTAAATGATAATACTTATGACGATTATAGGAAAATAATAATCGGTTACATATCAGGTAGTACGATACGATATTTAAATAAAATAATAAAATGTTCCGAATGTTTAGAAAGTTTACAGACTGATGAGAAACTCTATTTTCACAGGCTTATTGATTTGAAAAACAAGGGTGGCCTTCGTTTCCCGTCAAAAGATCTTTTTGATATTTGTGTCCTTTGTGAATCGATTTTTCGGAAATTATTAGTTAAAAAAATTGTTATTACCGCAGAAAATCAACACAAAACTATTGTCATAAATATATTAAAACGCTTTATAGGACAAAATACAGTTTTTGTTAATTTAGAGAAAAAGCACGAATATTTTGGTCACGAATATAAAATTCATTTAATTCGCTGTGTAATTGAAAAATATTTAAGCATAAGGTTTCATCATATTGCTAAGTTGGAAACTATTACAAAAACAAAAGACAGTAAAAGACAATCTTACAAGAAATTGATCCAGCATAAAGGTTTTTAATAAGTAGAATAACACTAGACAAATAATATAAACTTTTGTGGATATCTTAATATACACTTGACTTGACAAGCATGAAATAAAGTAGAAGAAATAAGCCGCCCTGGCTTTTTTTACTTGTAAATGGTTTTTAAATTTATAAATACACAAAGCTAATATTAGGTTGTTTTATTCTTGGTACACCTTTTCTATTTCAATATCCTGATATTGACAAACGAATTTACATTATATTATTAAATAGCATAGCATTAACGTTAACTCTATAACGTCGTAACGTTAAGTTATTGGGGTGTTTTTAATGACTATGGTCACACTGGCACGCACACTACAATTGCTAAAAATCGGCTTCATTTTGTTGTTCAGCGCACTCCGTCTTTACTTTTTATTTGGTCTGGCTGGAACCTTGTCTAATATAACACCCGCGTGAAGGATGTCATATGTAAATAAAAAGTACAAATAGCAAAAAAAAAATTATTAATTAATTATTAAAATATTTTTGAAAATTTATGAAAATACTTTTGAAAATACTTTTCAAAATTATGCATTAAAATGATTTTTGTAATATTTGTGTTCCTCCTAGGTTATGAAATGAGACAGCTGATTTCATATAATACCAAATAACATTATTTGTAGTGATTAAAACAATTGTTTGGTTGTAAAATTGTATTACATTGTAATTGATTAATTTTCAGTATATCACAAAGAGTGCTTCAACAGTCTATGATCTGTGTAAAGCTGACATAATCACAAGCAGAGGATCTTAAATTCTAAATGTGAAAAGATATGTATCATTTTTAAATTCACTTTTTGAACTTGAGCTTGTCTGCAAGTGAGCAAGATAGACCAGTGCCATCAGGTTCTACATTTAATTCCTCAATTTTGCTGTTGTTGATGACCATAGAGAAGCGTTTAGATCGAAAACCACCTAAAGGTGGTAAATTTGTGCCAAGATCCAGGGCTTTAATGAACACTCCATTAGGATCTGCTAGCATACGAACCTGTAAGAGACAAATGTGATAAAAGTAACATAATAAGAATAGGGTTTTATATTTACTTCTTCATAATAGTTTTTTTTTATTGTTACAGTGAAATTTTACTATCATAAACCTTGAGATAATCACTTCCCAGATAAAAAGTATTACTATTGTAAGTATTAGCGGATCTTAGTAGATTTTGTATAAATGTCATAAACATCAAAATTAACATCTAAAAATATTCTTAAGACATGGTAGGTAAGTGACCTTTTACATAGTAATAACATACAACTACTGATAATAAGCAACAAGATACCCAAACCTAAGTAACATTGTTATACCTATACCTATCATAAATTGTATTACAATTTCAAATAATTTATGTTTATTCAATATGTACTGATTTCACATTTTACTCAAATTCATAAATATTAAAACAAATAATTACATTCTATTTGCTTTGCATTAATTATCTTAGGTTGAAGGTCAGCTGCGTGAGGGTGAATAATAAATATAGTGAGAAGGTACACAGGCTGAAATTTGATTCCTTTTTTGATATTTGATCACACAAAATTCATGTTATCTAAAGATGAATATCAAAAATCATTAATATTAACCATAGATCCCTTACCTTCCCTTTGGTGTTATGCTGGTTTCCCCAAGCTGACATAACATAAGGGTCATTGACAGAGACACAGACTATCTCTGCAACGCCTTCAGACTTCATTTTATCAGCATTTTGCACATATCCCGGCAAATGGGTTTTGGAACAACCTGGTGTAAAAGCACCGGGCACTCCAAACAGCACCACCTTCTTGCCAGAAGTCAATTCGCATGTGTTCACTTTATTTGCCGGTGAATCTTCAAACAAATCAGCTGATGGAAGCTGGTCTCCAACCTACAAATATACATTTTAGAACTCCTGGCTCCAGTTATATAATTTTATTTACACAAGTAAATTAATTAAAGATACCTTGACGGGCGCCATAACTGCGGCAGTTGTGTGTAATGAACGGCAGGTGGTTTCCTTTGCGAACGCCGATATTCTGCGTACAATTGATCGGCACGGAAGAAACATTTGTAGTTGATTGCAGTATTTATATCCGTTGACAACTCACTCTATCGATCTGTCTGATCAACAGATGCTCACGCAATTTACATATCAAGGTCGTAATTGTCACTGTCACAGTCAAATTTGACATAACAATGATATTTCCATGCTTGATTGTCATCGTAAATAAATCTATGGTCAATCGTTGTTAATAAAGTCACAGTTAGGTGTTGCTACATAAAAGTTAATTTCGAAAAAAAAGGCGGGAAACGTTTGATTAGGCGGGCGCGTTTTATATTTGTTTTATGGCGTTTTTTATTTAAAATGAACAGTTAGAAGTATTATTTCATACGGAGTAAAATACTATACTTAAAAAAATTGTTAACGACAGACTTTCTTTGAAAAAAATTGTGGTCACCATGTGGTCACATTTGTCGTCTAAGGTCAATACCAAGATGAGTCATAGAACGTACATCTGAAAGGCATGGAGGAATTTCAGTTCCCATATTAACAGAATCAGTTTGAATTAGTTCGAGAAATTCAATAATTACATTATTAATCTACTCTATTAATAAACGTAAAAAATACAACACAACCAACTGCTCACATATTATTATAAATAAAACATTTACATTGCAACATGTTTAGTAGACCCTGAATATTCTGAGGTCAGTCCGCAATAAACTTTGGAGTTTTTACTTTGATTTAATTCGAGATTTCTTCGGGATGCAAAGTATATTTTTTTAAGAATTTAAGCATACAGTCATAAAGCATAAAATCTATGTGCTATGACATTGACATGGATTTAATGATGAATTCTTGTTTTAGGCACTCCATCTACATCATCAACATCATTCTTCCCCGTAGATGTTAAATTACTTCGTTTGATTTTAAGCTTTAATACTATTACGTCTTAGATTTCCGGATAAAAAAACAATTAATTCACAATCCACCACCGGCCCTTTTACGTCCCCACTGCAGGATCTGGCCTTCCTTATAAATGGTTAAGAAGGATAGCCCATGACCCTCCACGCTGGCCCAATGCGGATTGGAGGGTATTAACGACTGCAAATGCAGCCGGGACCAACGGCTTAACGTGCCTTCCGAAGCACGGAGTAGCTAGAGATAATAATATTTTGGTCGGTCATCCCGTGACCGACCCTTGCGAAAGTTACTTAACGACTACGATCGCGGGCCGCGGCGCTTATCCACTACGCCATCAAACTACTCTTTAATAATGTGACTCTTTATTTACTTAAATTACAAAAATAATCCCTTAACAAAATACACTTTTGGACTTTACCAATTCACATCATTACTGTCACTTCACAACACTAATTGACCTTCCAGATAGTTAACAGCACTAGTTATCGCTTCGAGTTTCGCTTCCAATCGCTTTCGTACCTATTCAGTTCACTGAAAGAATACTGGGACGGCTAGCCCACCACGTATTTATAGGAGCTGATGTCACCTCTAGAATTTTCTGGGTTAGGCTACCCGTCCTTTTCTTCCCCAGTGGCTGTCCCTTTCTCGCACGCTTATACTTATAGGACACACGGTGTTTTGACGGTATTAGCGACATTCAAATGACACATAATCCCATTTAGTAACGGATGGATAAAACATCACAACACTGCACTCCGTAATAATACGTTGATATTAAAGTTTACTTGCGAAATTTTGACATATTGCGCTGGTGTACGATAATTTTGCCAATTTTACTCAATATACGATAATTTTCACTGCTGAATTTTCAATGTAAAGGTTAATTGACTCGCTTTTGGTTGTGAAAATTTTGCAGCTAATATGGAAGTTAACCCCATAATCTGAGGAGATCGTATTCTATTATATCGGGACTAGGAAAATCGGTATATCTTGTCTTTGTGTAGAATCGATTTTCTGAAAGATCAAATTAGAGCAGGCATCCTTAATTTAGAATATGTCAAATCAAATAGTCAAGCACTTTGTTGCAATTGTTGGCTGTTATTTTTTATTAGATTCATATTGTAGCTATGAAAGTGTATGGTTTTAACCCGATTGAAGCAAAACGTTAAATATAGCAGTATTTTGCTTTGTCTAACATGGATTCTCCTACAATGGATACCATATACCAAGCCATAAGCGCTTTGTATGATAACCCCAATGCAAGTGAAAAGGAAAAGGCATCTATTTGGCTCGGCGATGTGCAGAAGTCTGTAAGTATCTCGTAGCAAAATATGTTTTTACAATCTACTACAACTTTTATACACCGACTTCGCAGTATTGTGCGCATGTCGCTATTAAATTGTCTGTATAATTTCGTAAAAATACCACTTTTATTTTACAGATACACTCATGGAAAATAGCCGATGAGTTACTTCAACAGCAAAAGGATATACACTCTTGCTACTTTGCTGCTCAAACAATGAGATCTAAAGTGCAACACAATTTGTCAGAATTGCCCGTAGAAGCTTTGGTTTCCCTTCGAGACTCCCTGGTGGCGCACTTGGAAAGAACTTCCCCGGACACTAGTGCTGCTATTTTAACTCAACTCAGCTTAGCATTAGCTGATTTAGCACTCCAAATGCCCTCTTGGCAAAACTGCGTTGCAGACTTAATAACATCATTTTCTAACAAAAATGATTATGCCCTCTTAGAAGTTTTAACTGTATTACCTCAAGAAATAGATTCAACCAATTTGAAGCTTGGTGAAAATAGAAGAGAAGAAATTAAGCAGGAGTTAAGAGCCCATGCTCAAATTGTAAACTTATTTTTAAAGGAAAGTATAGTCAATTCTCAAAACACCCATGTAGCATTGAAGGTGATAAAATGTCTTACATCTTGGATACAAGTGAGAGCTATTAACATGCAAGAAATACCACAAAATGCTGTAATAGGGTTAAGCTTACAAGTTTTGAGAGATCACAATACAATAAATATGTTACATGATGCAGCCTGTGATTGTATTTGCTCATTACTTCACTGTCTAGAGGAAAATAACAATAGTGAAGATGTTGAAAAGTTGTTATTTGAGAGTGTGTCAGCCTTAGAAGAGAGCTATCATATGGCAGTAGCGCATGAGGAGGAAGAGAAAGCGGCCAACTATGCAAGAGTGTTTACAGAGTTGGCAGAATCATTTCTCAGCAAAATTGTTAATGCAGCAGCTAATGGTACCACTCATTTTGCAATGAGGTCTTTAGAATTAGCTCTTATGTGTATTGGCCATCATGATTATGAGGTAATAATAATAATATCTTTTAATGTTAGTTAAATATTGTTTAATTCTTAGTATGACATTATTCTAAGTACATATCTAAGTTCTAAGTACTAAGTATTTATTTTTGACAGGTTGCAGAAATCACTTTCAACCTTTGGTACAAATTGTCCGATGAAGTATATCAGAGAGACTATCAACCTCTAACAGATGTATTTAAACCGCATATTGAGAGACTTATTGAAGCCTTGGCTAGACATTGTCAGTGTGAGCCTGACCAAGCACAGCTGCCAGATGAGGGTGATGAGTTTTTTGTAAGTATACTTAACAAGTTGCCTCATTCTATATACTTATATAACTATTTTTATGTTAATGTTGTTATGTTGTATCAGAGTTAGTTAATTATATGGTAATGTAAATAGAATTTATATTATACTTTTTATAAACTTTATTTAATGAAACCTTGGCATAACATAAAATTGAAATATTTAATACAAGATCATATATTTATATATCTCTTTGCTGTGTTTGTGAGCTCCTCTGCAGTTTCCTTCTATTTTATGCAATTTGTTTTCAGGAATTCCGTGTAAAGGTGATGGGAGTGATAAAAGATGTGGTCTTCATAGTGGGATCTAGTTTTGTGTTCCGGCAGATGTTTACAGCTCTTCATGCGGACATCTCATGGGAACAGACAGAAGCTGCTCTGTTTGTGATGCAGGCAGTTGCCAAAAATATATTGCCGTGAGTTAAAGCAGATGACCAAGATTTTATGACTATGATATAAAGTCATTATCTGTTGCAGAATCTGTCTCTGTCTACATAAATTTATGGTTTATAAATTTGTTGTTTGTGTTTACATTGATTAGTAATCAAGATTCTGAAAGTTATTATTGCGAAATTAATGAAGAAAGCCTTGCCTAAATTATTAAAAAAAAAAAAACAACTATATAAATTATAACTAAAACACGAAAATTTATTATCTAAATAAATAATCTTAAAGCTAGAAAAACAATTATCTAAAATTAAAACAATCTCAATAGCCAAGTGGCTCTTACAGTTTCAAAGAGTTGCCCTCTAACCAACCAACCTGGGATAGTTTGATTTGCAGTTGGGTTAATGTTTCTACATTTTCTAATAAACTTTTCTAAATTATCTTGAGTCTGTGTTGGATGTACATTGGGGTTCGTTTTTTCAGATATTCCATAATGTAAGGGCTAACTACATGGACTTTGAACAATGTTTGTGATTACTGCTAAAGATCTTTTTTTTTATTTAATTTGAACAATTTCATTTTTTGGGCACCATTCTTCTCTTATAATGGAACTGTTTGTATATGCACCATGATTATAAATACTAATTTTACTCATAGGGACGAATATGAGTATGTGCCAAAAGTAGTCGAAGCAATACTCTCCATGCCTGAGAACAGTCACCCGGCAGTTCGGAAAACATGCATACTTCTCTTAGGAGAACTATGCGAGTGGATCGAGCAACATACTGAGGCTTTGGAGCCGAGCCTTCGCTTTCTCATCAGGGCGCTGAACGATGAACAGTTAGCGTATGCCGCCGCTCTTGCTCTACAGGTGAGAACTAGTTTTTAGTCTGATTCCCTCGCAGCTTGGATTTGTTACATGATACAGTACAGGGATCGATTTATTACATAATTTTATGTAATCTAAAAAAGAGGTAGTCTCTTTTTTAGATAATTTTCAACATTTTATAGTGCAAAATGAATGGACGAACCATTACATCAGTCATTCATTTCGATTTATTTGAAATGACTATCAAGCTATTGCATAATTAATTTATTTAAGAATATGTGTAATTTAATAATTAATAGACGTAAATTATAGCCAACGATGGAGCTTTCCATCGTAAACGAAAGAATTTTTAATATCTTCGCGGTAGTTTCGGAACGTATTCATGCTCCGAGTGTCGTGTGTGTAGTCGTGTTAGTAGTTAGTATAGTGATGTGTGTGTGCCGGTTGGCAGAACATCTGCAAGGCGTGCCGGTCGTCTGCGTGCGGGCACGCGGGCGCGCTGCTGGAGGCCAGTCGCGGCGGCCAGCGCCTGCCGCTGCCCGCCGCCGCCGCGCTCGCCCGCGCCACCGCCTCCACCATCGGCGCGCTGCCGCACGAACAGGTCAGCGACACATGCACCCCACTAATCATAATTCTTCAAATTATGATATACATACAGGAAAGATCTGGCCAAAATGCAGACATTCGATAAATAATTTTAGTAAAATAAGTGTCAATTTTGTTCTAACACTGACTAAACTGAATAGAATACAATTTTGATTTGGCTTCGTTTAACGATGTTCCTTAGTGATATAAAATATTAGTGGCCGCCGGCGACTTCGTCCGCGTTTTCCATTATTTCTTCGCTCCTAATAGTTGCAGCGTGATGTTATACAGCCTAAAGTCTTCCTCGACGAATGGTCTATTCGACACAAAATAATTTTTCAATTCGAATCAGTGGTTCCTGAGATTAGCGCGTTCAAACAAATAAACAAACAAACACTTCAGCTTTATAATATTAGTATAGTTTTACGCCTGTGTACTGTAATATAATTAAAGAAATAAACACAAGACAACTTTTAGCAGTCGTGTTGTAAAATCTGAAACGAGATAGGTCCCGCGAGTCCTAAATCCGATGCGATAACCTCGATGTCTTACGTGCCCGTGCCAGTTGAGCGTGGCCATGCGCGAGGCGGTGGCGGTGCACCTGGCGCCGCTGTCGCAGCTGGTGCAGGCGGGCAAGGAGGCGGGCAGGGAGGCACGCAAGGGCTGCGCGCTGGACCCGGTGCCGTGGCTGGACAAGGTGGCCGCGCTGTTCCGCGACGTGGACGCGCCCGCGCCCGCCGCCCCTGGAGCCCACCCCTGCCTGCCCGCGCTCGCCGACGCCTGGCCCGTCATCAGGGACGTCATGCACAAGTACGTTTTACCCTTATATAGATATTATAATGTAATGCACGTTCCATTATTATCAATTATTTACAATAACTCAACTTAAATCACAGAAGATAACTAAAATCATACTAGTCCATAAATCTATCTTAGCATTCATCGACTTGGATCGGTCAAATCTGTATCTTAAGAATCTAGTAATATTTACTGCCTTCGGTAAGGGCTCCTGATGTCGGTAAGTTTGGACAAAGTCCGACAAAATCATAAACTACAACTTATCCGTTTATGATTTTCTGTTACATTTGCTTGACTCATGTTTATGTTGAAGGATTTTATATGCGGTAGTTTAATGTCTTTAATTTGCCATCACATTGGGGGTGCCTCAGGGGTCGCATCTGAGTCTTATACTGTTTAACTGACTTATTCATAGACAATATTCCTGATTATTTTATTTATTCAATTGGTTACATGTATGTGGATGTCATTAAATTTGTTAATATAATCGAAACATAAATAACTCGGGAGTTGGTGCAGACGATTATCGATTGCCTGAGACTTCCTCCCTCCCTTTTAGTGATGCGACTCGAATAGGATTTTGTGACTCGAGTCATTCGAGTAATTTAACTATCTCACTCGAATCGTACTCGAGTGTTCGAGTCACTCGAGTAAAAAGTCTCTCTCGACTCGAAACTTGCAACTCGAGTTGCAAGTTTGCAATTCGAGTGAGATCTCTTTTAGAAACATTTAAACAAATACCTATATTAATTGACTCATTGTCACGGATGGAGTAATAATTGAAATGAAATACACATTATAAGAGTTTTTACATATTATTTATTTAAGTAATCAACAAACTGAAAAAATGTCTTCCTAAGAAGTAAGAATAATGAAATTACCATGAATGAATTATTGATATTAACAATCACATTTTATGCAATTTTAATTACAAGTAATTTAGTTTTCTTTTTATAATTAGTTTTAACAATTATATTGTAATATAATAAGTAGTAGTAAAGTAACATCTAGCTAGTGGCATGGCGGCAATCGAGAGACTCGAGTAATATTTTTTTTCAATCGAGTACGAGTTTGACAATTTCACTCGAGTGACTCGAGTAAAAACAAGGCTCGAGTCGCATCACTACTCCGTATTGGCCCGTGGGTGCAGACTACCGCATCTTCATTGCACATCCTCGCTCGTCTGACGGGAATGCCTAGTACTCGGGTATCCCCCATCTCGCGGAAGCTCAACATTAATTCTGGGTCGGCTAAGACGGCGTGGTGAAATCCACCGGAGCAGACGCCGCTAGAATTGGCAGAGATTACATATCCCAAGGCTTTAATATGTATATGCCATCCGCCCTATGATTTATTTTTATTTATTTATTAGGTTCACCAGCGGTTGTATGCAATAATACAACATTTTCCATTACATCTAAAATACTTAATTAAATGTAACAAACTATTAAGGTAAACACTTCATGCATTTAAGAAGGATACTGACAATGTGTATAATGCAGTCAATATACCGTCAAAACATATATTGTTTATGATATTTTGCCAACCTGAAGCCACGTTTGGATTACTGTTCTTTTGATTTTTGCAAATGTATCATTATGAATATCAACCAAGTGACCGAATCCATTTATCACTCGACATAGTCTTGGTTCGACATTCGACATAGTTGATTTAGCACCCAAAACTGATCTTCGAAAGGGGCAAAGTGGAGCAATTGGGGTACGAGGCTTCCGTACTGAATCACGCAGTCGGAATTTTTTAAGAAATTAAATGAAATGAAAATATCTTTATTCAAGTAAGCTTGCAAGCACTTTTCGTCCAAAATTTTTTTTCCCCTACCACTTGTTCAGAACGTCTTTTAACTGACAAGAACAAGTGAAAGAAACTAACCAGGTCTTCATCATCATGTCATTACCAAAATAATATGTATTATTACAATAATAAACACAGCTTTCAAAGTCTGTTTATCATACGGAACACCCATCTTAACTTTCAATCCAGGGGATCTTTTGCCATTGATATCAGCTCTCTGCACTCTGTCAGTCAAGTATGAGACAGTAAAACCCAATGATAGTTAAATTTTCAAGGAATCAATCAATTTAAGAATTATGGTAACCAATGAAATACCAAAGTAGTAAACTTCAACATAAGCTGTAGTTTTGTCCGAAGTATATTGTAAATGCAAAATTTATTTCAGAGAATAATTAAAATGTTATAATCCTTCCTAATAATCGAAGAAAATACACTCACTAGCCGAGAGAGGCACACATTTTAGCATAAAATCCGTCAGAGTGCACATTCGCTCAGCAAAATATGATAGATTTTTCTAAGATATCTACTAACGTTTACTCGCAGATATGCCGCCGACGGGCGAGTGATGGAACGTTCGTGTCGAGCGCTCCGATTCGCCTTAAGATGCACGGGCAAACACGCCGGCGGCCTCCTCCAGCCGCTGGCCCAATCGCTGGCCACGCTGTACGAAGCGCGAGCCCACTCCTGCCTGCTGTACCTGGGGTCGGTTCTGCTCGACGAGCTGGCGTCCACGCCCGAGTGCGTGCCGGACCTCATAGCCATGCTGCAGGCGTTGATGCCGAAAGCGTTCGAGCTGCTGCTTCAGCCCAACGGGCTCCGAGACAACCCCGACACGGTGGACGACTTGTTCAGACTGTGCATCAGGTGAGAGACGCGGCCGGGACCGACGAAGCGAGGTGGAGCCGGCGATAACGTGTGACTGACTCGTGTGGCGCAGGTTCCTGCAGCGCATCCCGCTGGAGTTCCTGTCGTGCGCGGCGCTGGACGAGGTGGTGGCGTGCGCGCAGCTGGCGGCGGCGCTGGACCACCGCGAGGCCAACGGCTCCGTCATGCGCTTCCTGCACGACCTGGCCGCCGCCGCCAACCAGACGCGCGGCAAGCGCGCCGTCAGCGGTACGTCGTTCATTCCCGCCAGAACGCCCCTTCTGTCTGTGTATGCGTAAGGTTGAAATCTCCCAGTTCTGATATGAGCAAGAGGGGGCGAGCTTCCCACGCTGTTTGCGTCACGCGACAACGACCGTAAAGTATTTGTTTTTTCGTAATCGATTTAAGCAATATTGTAAACGAAAGTGTGATTATCGGTAGTAACGTATTTTACACCACAAAAAGAAGTCATCTTTCACGTTCATTTCGGTATCTAATATCGTAATGGAAAGTTACTATATTTTAATATCGACGAGACTGTGACGTGGGTGTGTGCAGAGTTGGCGGCGGGCGCGGTGGCGCGGCACGGGGCGGGGCTGACGCGCGCGCTGCTGGCGGCGGCGGCGCTGGCGCTGCACGCGCCGCTGCTGGCCGACGTGGCCGAGCCGCTGCTGCAGCTGCTGCGCTTCCAGCGCGCGCGCCACCTGGACTGGCTGGCGCCCGCGCTGCAGCAGCTGCCCGCGCGCCCGCCCTGCGCCACGCCGCAGCAGTGCGACCACTTCCACCAGCAGGCCATGCGGTACGACCGCTACACCCACCGATATTATTTAACCATCTATCGACCTCCTAAAATGTCCCAGCTTAACACGAAGGAGCTCGAGGCCACCGACCCTGCGCCCGGCCGTTGCGAAACTCGCTTACCGGCCGCGTAGCACCCCGAGCGTTAGCCGAGCAGCATGAAGGCTGCGCCTTCATGCTGCTCGAGAATATATTTGCAACCGTCCCGAATTGCCGTCGACGCAGAGCGGCTCGATTTCGACGATGACCGACCGTTTTCAAATTTACCGGAGCCTCGTTTCGATAACCGGGAGATGTAAAATCCGCCGCGTCGCGTGTCCGTCCGCCCGTGGGCCTCGCGGTGGCGTGACCTTTAGTTCGTTCCGATCGACCGACGTTTGCCGCGATACGAATGTTCAAAATTTAATCTTCCGCACCTTCTCCCTGTTCCTCGAGCGCTTCCCCCGTACCTGTCCGAACTTAACAGTGTTAAATCGCTCGATAACATGTTTAAAATTAAAAAAGAAGACTTTTAAAAAGACTGACTACGTTTGCTTTAAAATAAATGCTCTTTCCAACGGTAATTTCAAATGATACGATCCAAATGTGTAAAAAAAAATATATGACATCGGAACGGAACCGTCGCAGACAGCCGAAAGTACCTTTTGAAGGTTTATTAATTACTCACTTTGGAATGGATCGCAACATACATATTTTTTCCGAATGTGTATAGATTGAATTTTTTTTTAATATCGGCAGTGAATTTAAACAATTTTACAGAAACTATAGTTTATCCTGCTCTAAAAAGATTTTATCTGTTTCAGGGCAGAAAAGTGCAAAGAACTGACGCGACTGCTGAGGGATTTCGCTAAACTGTACAGATAGACGTACGGTCCCTAACGATCACGCGGCGTCGACGTACGGCGAAGCTCACGGAAGACTGAACGGGACAAAATATGGCGTATTCGGATATGCCCACTGAACAGAGTATTCTCAAAAAAATATTATAGTCGATTGGTGCATTTCGAAGTAATGAATCACAATATCTTACGTCAAATTAGAAAGCAGAGTGTTATCGAACTTATTCTTAGCTTTAGGTAGTCGAACTGAAATAATATAATCTCTCTTTGTCTCCTAAAGTTTCGATTTCAATTTTCGATTAGTTGATTTCTCTCTCCCTGTAATATAAAATTAAAATTCGTTTTTGATATCTGTATAGATTTATTTTACATTTAATTATAAAACAGAACGAGTCACCCGATAACTTAGGTAAGTATGACTTTGACGAAATATATTTTGTTTTTATTATACTCTCTTTTATTTGAATGTGATAGCTGTTAATTGTAAATATTTATTATAAATGTTTACTTTAAATCTGTCTTTCCTTTCGTTCACTCCCTGCTTATTAATTTATTCTATTATCACTTTTTCTTCGCGTTTTTAGGACTCGAAAGTGTAACGAAATTCACCCTTCTGGGAGCTTTAGGACTCGGGGCAGCCGGAACGACCACGGGCTCTTTTATATCGGTCACTTTAGCTTGCTTCAAGAATATATTACTATCATCCTTAACATTATTAGAACTTTTCGGTGTCTTCTCTTGATTCTTAAGAGCTTCCTTTTGCCTTTCAGGAGAATTCAACTTTGTTGGAGATTGCCTTCCTATTTCTGCTGACTTTGTTTCAGTGTCATCATAAACGAGTTTCATATCTTCACTGTCCTCGATTTCTATAACATCAGACGGTTTGTCAGTGGGTGTGTCAACATCCATAGTTTCACTATGCTTAGGTACTACTATATCATTATTAGAATTGTCAGACCAAGACGACATAGCCACTTCTTCCAATACGTCCCTCTTAACAGGAGTCTTCTGTTGAGAGGTTTGCACTCTCTGTTTCTTAGGCGATTTGTGTAATGGTGTTTTGAATTTCATAAATGATTCAATTTTCTGTGTATTGGTCGGTTTAGTTTCCTCGGGTGTTTTCTCTTTAGGGGGCTGTGTGCTCTGCGGTTCTGTTTCTTTAACTTCCATGGCTCCTATAAAAGATATAAGAAATATTATACTAATATTTATTATAATAATAATAACAATTTTAGACAGTTCTTGAAATCGGAATGAACAAGTTTTCGACCGCCATGGGAAATGAGTTTCGCAACCAGTTGTCAAAAAGTTTTTATTCTATCTTATAATAAATTAATGTTGATCATAAATATCTCTAAGATATATTGCTAATAGAGCAGGGTATATTTATATTATATTTAGTTTCATATATAAATTTGAATAGAATTAACAAGGCGAATTACCTAATTAACCCAATGACAAGAGACAGACCGCCATCCAATCATGCGTCATCTACTTTTAGCATTTTGGCTCAGTTGCCATTTGAGTATTTAAAATAATGGTGCCTATTTTCTTTTTTGACAGGAGACTCTAGAGACTGAAGGGTAGTTAGAATTAACCTGTTCTTCCTTGAGATTGTTCATTCTCTACTAAAAAAAAAGGACAACACAAAAGCAAACATCACTATAACTGCGGTAGTTTTATAAATACTTAGGTGGATTGAAAAATTTGCGGCCTAACACATAAATACTTAAACTATTTTAATGTAACTGACCTCATTCGATTAGTTTACTCTCTGGTTATCAAATTGTAAAATTCTATCGCAATAGCATTAACTGTATTTAAATTAGACTGAATTTTGTGAGCCTTTGTGCAGCATTTTTAAAGAATGGAGTAAATTGAGCAACATGCGGTCATCAAATACTTGTTTAAAAAAAAAACTAACTCCCGAAGATTCACGAAGACACGTCAACAACATTGGGGGAATCTGCTCCGTCGTATACGACTGTGAAAAAGTGGGTTGCTGAATTTAAACGCGGACGAGTGAGTATTGAAGATGACCCTCGCTCTGGCCGGTATATGACGTCTACGACTGAAGAAAACATCGGGAAAATCTGTGATCTGATATTGACAGATCGGAGATTGACCATCAGGGAGATTGCAGACACCATTGGCATCTCGTATGAACGAACACAAAACATCATAGTCAATGAACTTGGATTTTCTAAGGTTTCTGCGCGGTGGGTACCCAGATTGCTTTCAGTCGTTTGTTTGGAAATGTTTGAGGCTGATCCACAAGATTTTTTATCCAGATTTGTAACAATGGATGAAACTTGGGTACACCACTACACCCCAGAGTCAAAACAGCAATCTAAGCAGTGGAAAAAACGTGATGAACCGACTCCAAAAAAAGCCAAAACAATTTTGTCAGCGGGCAAGGTGATGGCATCAGTTTTTTGGGATGCTAAGGGTGTCATCGTGGTGGACTACCTTGCAAAAGGTGAAACTATAAACTCGGCTTATTACTGCACCCTCTTACGTCGCTTGAGCGAAACAATCAAAGAGAAAAGGCCAGGATTACTCAGCAAGAACGTGTTGTTCCATCAGCATAATGCACGCGTTCACACGTCTGTTGAATCTATGGCTGAAATTCGTGACTGTGGCTTTGAATTACTGCCCCATCCCGCCTATTCGCCTGATTTGGCACCTTCAGACTTTCATTTATTCCCAATCCTAAAAAAACACCTTGGAGGTCAAAAATTTTCATGAAATGAGGACTTGAAGAAACTTTTTTTATGACCAGCATACAGGCGTTGGAAACCATATGGAAGAAGCGCATAGAGTTAGTAAGTGGAGATTATGTGGAAAAATAAAATTACTTTTGCTTATATTTTATATTGTTTTCTTGCTGAGGCCTCGAACTTTTCAATTGACCCTCGTACATAAAAGAGGATTTTGCAACACGTATTGTAATTTGTAACGCATTACCCATTGGACTATTAAACTAGAGATACGACCACTCGGAACCGTTCCAATATCAGTCCGTCTGCATACCTGTCTGTGTTTTGTGTAACGCGGCCTCTTCGTCGGACAGCGGTTCTCCCAACTCGCCTTCCGCAAACGAGATGACGGAGCAAAACCCGTCCGTACTAGACGCCACCAACCGAAGGCCGTCCGACGACCACGTCAAGTCCGTAAGTCTATATCACACCAGGAAACGTGAGTTAATCGCAATATATGCTGATCCATAGATTTTAGGGCTTAGAATATTTAGATCACAACATTTTCGATAATCCAGCGAATGCAAGAAGATAATGAATTGTCATTGAGCAGGACTTTTGGTCATGTTTTATCGTCAAGTGTCTCGAACGTCGTCGGGGAGTATATTAGATGTCGTCAACGAGTGCGGCAACGTCGTTAATGAACATATCAGATGCCGGCGGCGAGCGGTTCAGGTATCAGATGTGATCGGTCGTCGACGAGTATATTATATTCCGTCATCGTTCGAATCGAAGACAGAGATCGTTCGAATGCAATACCAGTCGAAAACGCGTCATCACGGGTGCTCTAAGCAGAGGCCGCGGGACGGCGATGGAACTAATGTAATCGGATCAGCCCCGCGATTCTGTAAAAATCCAACCCGAATTCGAATTCACACATGTGACCGAGTTCACGTCACTCAGTGTAGAAATTATATCGAGTCCATTTTATGTATAAAAAAAAAACAAAACAAATCGATCGAAGACACGCGTCTCCGATATTCTATTCCTGGCCCTTAAAAACTCACGTCGCTTATGCCACGAAACGATTCAAGGTTGAGCGGCCACAGAACACTGACCTGGTGTAATGTATGTTGGATATGACGGCGAGGGGAGTCGCCTGCTGCGTGTCGTAGACGAGCACGCAGCGCCTGGTGGCGACGGCGAGCACCATCCTGGTGCGGGCGGGGAAGCGTGCGGGCGGGCCCGCAACCCGCACGCGGTACACGCGCGGGCTCCAGCGCAACGCCAGCGCCGCCTCGCCGCAGCGCAGCACGCAGCACGGCCTGCCGCCACCACACACTACACTACACTATACTATACTACACTACCGCCGACTCAATACGGGCTCGTATCGACTCTTTCAACGGTAGCCCATCGTGTGTTAATTTTTTCAACTTTAATAGATATCCTATCTGCATGAACGTTCCAACTTACGGTGCTTCTTGTCATACACGCTGTCTAATAATACTCGCGAGTGCAGATAGCACAAAAAATGCAACAGATAAATTATTTAAATATACGCCGCGGAATAAAATTACCATTAAAAATAATGACACATTCAGGAAAGGGTTTTTATTTTTTTTGGAGTAGGAATATTTAAGTTATTCGGTCCATGAAAACTTATCCTCGATTTGTATCGGAAAGTGTACTCGGCTGTTAAGGTCGAGCGCCGTGAATATTCAGGATGCCCACCATCAGTATGAATGAAAATTAGTTTAGCTGATAAGTAAGATTTGGGAATCCAACTTTCTCTTCATACTTTATCGGACTTGGGACCGACAAAATTACATTGTAGTATTATGTTCCTGAAATACAAATAAGTAATTCCTAATGGAAAGTGTTTACGAGTAATTTTGACGTATTTAAAAAAAAAATAAATCAGCGTATTTACAAAAAACTTATCCACTTTACAGTCCCTCTCGCTACAAATATAATATTAATTTTAGAGAAACTAAAACATTCCTTTGTTGTTTTACCTCAATAAAAGCGTCTACTATTCGTTGTTTTAAAACTTCAATAGTGTCAGGTTCACTCAAGTAAATTCTACGCTTTATTTTTGTTTATTCCACAGCTTTCTCAAGGTGACCAACGGAATGTCATCTAGCATAGATGAAATCATCGTCCGAAGTAAATTTAAATAGGTTTCACTCGAGAATCGACCTTGAAAAAAGAACATGGACTGATAATTTGGTCGTTCAATATGCCGCACGTTTACCCTGAACTTATTTTGAAATGAGTGCTCCCGCGTAACTATAGGATTTCGGTATGACAACCAATGCGTGTTATGCCGGTTAAACAATCATAATCGCGTGTTTCTTTCTCCTAGACACCGCTAGTAGTAAGCCGTCAATGACTAATTAGGTACGTTTGTACTAGGCGTGCGTAGAACGATATGAAATATTGGGATTGACCATTTTTTAAGTTTTTTGATAATAATGTTTATTACTTAAACCTAGATATATCGAATCAGTTCACGATACTGATAATGCAGTTAAAATTTTTATGGTAATTTCATTCTTATGGTGTATATGTCGCAGCCGCTTAAAACAGCCGTTAAATTAGGAGGCCATTTACTTTATCTAGTTGAATCATTATGACATTTGAACCGTTCAACAAAAGGGCTGAAAAAGAAGCCATCAAAAGGTTCGTTCAATTTTGTTTGCTGTTAAAAAAATTGCTGACTCTGCTTTCGATAGATGATGCTGTGGTCTGAACCGCAGTATATCTTGTCTTTGTATTAGTATTAAGAGTTTATTATAAAAAGTTTAAAATCAACCCACTTGCATTATGGGTGTATACGGACCATTAACACCCAGTCGCGAATAATCAGTTTGTTTTTCATCATCAGGCCTGTATTTGAATCATTTACAGATAGTAACAAGTAGTTATTGAGTTTTTTATAAAATCACCCACTACAAGTATTTTGTTTTACTTTTAATCCTGTTCCCAGATTTTTCTAGTGTATTGACAGTTCATTAGTTAGCTGACTTTTTCTCAGCCATATTATAGAATGTTGTGTTCAGCTTCTCAGATGACCAAAAGTCAGCCTCTTGATTAATAATTAAATGGCGCAATTCAATTAAAGGGCTAGCCGCCCCATTGGTCAGCTGATTATATCACTTGGGTGTGACAAATATATATCTGCTGAAATATTTATAAATAATCCCCAAAATATTGTATACTAATTTAACAACTTAGTTTGTAAATTTATTGTAAGAATAATAAAAAGGCTAATGTAAATGTCAAATTTGAGGTAAATGGAAAAAATATATGTGAAGGATGATTTTTTAAGATATTGTCAAAAGTAATTATGCAATAAGAGACATTATAATATTTGTTTTTATGAAACCAGGTTTGCTTATTGGGGAAGATGCAATTTTAGTCAACCATAATAAATAACATAAAAATTTTACTTACACTTTGAGAGAATATCTTGTGTATATGTACACAGTGTTTATAGGCTTTATGTCCATCTTGCCTTGTTCCGGCTCTATTCTCCCAGCAGGGACAGCAATCAACAAACCATCAGGACTGAAGTGTAATCTACGATAATAAGTCTGCAATGTGTCATCGTGATATAATCGCACTTTAACATTGTGCAACGGATGTTCGGAAGGAAAGGGCAAGATAGCTTTACTGCTTCTAGACGAAACCTTCTTTGTTGTGATGTCGAATGTGCGAAACACTCTGAAACATTATAAAAATTGTAACATAATGTCTAGTTCGATTATGATAGGGAAAAATTATTGTACAAAAGTATTGATTTCCAATTAAATAGCACTACTATAGATCATGTATAAAAACAGTAAGTAAACAATTATAATTACTTCTAATGATGAGAAAAACAATATGGTGCAGATATCACTTCAATTGGAAATTTTGAATTTTACAATATAAAAGAGTAACCTGTCAGTACTGGCAGAAGCAATAAAACTGTTCTGTGGATCCCATGCCACCCCCTGCACAAATCCTTTATGATCTGTGATGATAGAGCTGTATCTACCACGGGAGACGTCCCACACAAGTAGCTTGTTGTCGACGGAGCCAGAGGCAATGTGCAAAGAATCAGGACTCCAGCACAGATCGAGAACATCTTCCATATGACCACGCAATGTCTGATAAATATAAATACAACAAAATAATAATGTCATAAATAAGTTAGTTAAATCTTAAATTGATTGAGAAAATTCAAAACTACTGTACCTTATAAATAACCCAAGTTTCTTTATATTGTTCTTCACCTTGTTCTAAAACTGGAGCAGCTTCTTTATCGGTTTTCTGTTGCCATATAAATATAATGGATTCATCATCTCCTGAAGCTAATAACATCCCATTTGGAGACCATCTAACAACATTGACAGCTTTTTGATGACGAGTCAAATCAGCAGCCACTTCAATATTAACTGATCCAGCGACTGTAGCTGATAAATACCAAATCTGAAACAAAAAAAGTCGTTCAAATAATCATCATTGTATTATTTTGAAACATGCCACGACAAATACCTACCAATACATGAGAATCCGTGCCACCAGTCGCAAGTCGCAAAGGTCCGTTATCTTCAGATTGAGGTTGGAAGTCTACACTTAAAACAGGGTCCCTGTTATGCCAAGAAATTTCAGGGATTGCAAACTTCATTGTTTTTTATTATCAAGGAAATCGAGCACAATTTTGGAAACTTCTTTCTTACAAAAATAAATACACAAAAATATGCACATAAACTACTAATAAATCACGGAAAAGTCTTAAAAAAAATGATTACAAAAGGAAAATAAATAATTTAAATTAACCAAACAAGTACAAAGCAAGACTGTCACATTTCGCGCCTATTTTAATTTAATTTTTTTTTTTTTTTTTAATAATTATTTATTCATAGCCATGGATACAAGTCCTTCAGCCGAATACATTTTATAAATTTAACATTTGTAGAATAGCTATATGCCTACATATTTATATATTTTCTATAGTATTACAAATGTATTTAAACAATGGAAAAAAATAATCTGGATTTGCTAAAAAGTCTATTATGCGGCGGGGAACACTTATTTCACTAGTACTGTCATTGATAACTTCGGTAACGTCATCCGCGAGCACTAACCGTTGTAAATTAAATGAAGGACATCTAAGTATTAGATGATCTAAATCGGCTTTATCTTGATTACAGTGAGAACATCTGCTATTGTGGATTATGTTCAGTCTATGCAAGTGTGCTGGTGTTAGACAATGTCCCAATCGCATCCTTGATATAGTAGTTATGAATCTCCTGTCGCTGTATGCAAAGGTATGGTACCATGGTTTGGTAGGAAATTCCTTTTGCACTTCTTTATACCATTTCCCCTTCGTTTCAAGCGTAATGTTCCAATATTGCTTCCATAGGTCCATTGCCATGGTTTGGAAGAAATTATAATAATCAGTAAAAGGTAGGTATAATGTCTCTGAATGATCTTCATCATGGTCTGAGCGCGTAATCATATCAACCATTTCATTTCCCCTTATGCCACTGTGTGAGGGCACCCACAAAAATTCTACATTAACATTCTTACTATCTAATTCTATTATTATATTTAAAATTTCATACAAAATATAGTTTAATTTAAACGACTTATTATTATTTACATTTGAAAGGGCAATTAAAACACTCTTTGAGTCAGATATTATCAAAATATTGTTTACACTATTTACAAGATTATTTATATAATGTAATCCACAGTATATAGCATAGCTTTCTGCAGTAAAAATGCTACTTGAATTATTTAATTTGATACATTTCTTATAATTTGTTTGTGGATCAAAATAAGCTGCTTTGACACTTTCATTTGCCTTAGAGCCATCTGTATAAATGTCATAATAATTATTTTTAGTATTTTTAAACTCTAAAAACTCTATTGCACAATGTACATCATCAAGATGAAATCTTTTTGAACATTTAATTTTACCTTGATAGGGATATTTATAAATAGGCCATATATCAAATTTTTTGATGTTTCTACAATTATTCCTAACATATGTAAAAATTGTTGTCATTTCAGGAAATGGACCATGGACAAGTGCAGAAGCTGAGATAACAGTAGATGGAATGGTGTGGGATATTTCGGATGGTGGGGTGAGTTGCTTAATCAAGTTACTATTATTTGAAGCTAGAACTTTTAAATTGAATCTCTCAGCTAACTGCAGCCTGCGTAAGGTTAAAGGAGGTATACATGTTTCAATCTCTAATGAATTAATTGGTGTAGACCTCATTGCTCCACTAATTAATCTCAATCCCATATTCTGAATAACATCCAATTTTTTTAAAAGAGTGCTACTGGCATTCATGTATGCTACACTGCTGTAATCAAAATGGCTTCTTACTATACTTTTGTACAGCATACTCATTATTTTGGGGTCAGATCCCCAGAATGTGCCTGCCAAATGTCGTAGAATATTAATACCTCCTAAAGCATTTTTACTAATGTGCTTAATGTGTTCCTCAAATTTTAACTTATTGTCAATAATAACTCCTAAAAATTTATGGCACTTTACAATAGGAATATGGATATTGTTGTAAACTATTTTTGTATTTGTTTGAGCACATGGATTTTTACTAAAAATTATTACAGAACTCTTTTGTGGACTTATGTCTAATTTAAGTTTATTTTTATAGTAGGTATATAATTGATTTAAAGCACTGTTTATATTACTTTGTGCCACTTCTATGTTTTGATTTATGCTGTACAAAAGAATATCATCAGCAAATTGCAATATTTTAATCAAAGTTGTGTCAATATATTTTAATATTTGGGAAGTATATAAATTGTATAGCAAAGGAGATAATGTTGCGCCCTGCATAGTACCTTTATTTATAATTTTAGGGCCATGCATTTTATTATTATATCTAACAAATACTGTCCGATTATTAAGAAATTTATAAAGCCATTTCAAATTCTGTGCTGTTAAGCCTATTTCATGAAGTACTTCAATTAATTTTTCTATATTTATATTATCAAAGGCACCCTTAACATCTAGAAAGACACATATCATATTAGAATGACTCAGTTGCACTTTTTTAATATCAGATATTAAAGATACAAAGCTTTCAGAACAACTTTTGCCTTTTCTGAAGCCAAACTGTATAGGTGGAATTAAGTGATTTGATTCAGCAAAGTAATCTAAACGTGACTTTAACATGTTCTCAAATATTTTACCCAGACAAGATGATAAAGAGATAGGCCTGTATGAGGATGCTATATTTTCTTGTTTGTTAGGTTTTAGTATTGGAATGACACACTGGGTTTTCCAGGATTCAGGTATAGCTAGATAGTCCCAAAGTTTGTTATAAATGTTGAGCAATGTTAGTTGTGCATTCAAATGTAATTTTTTAATTAAAAAATAAGGAATATTGTCTATACCTGGTGTAGTGTCTTTTCTGTTTTTCAGTGAAGTATGCAACTCTTCTATTGTAAAGTGGTTATTGAGAAACATATTTACTCTATTTTCTGTAGCTGTTTCAAAGAACTTGTTTATTTTATCCTCATATATTTGTGTAGAATCAGATAAATTATTTAAAAATGTTGGGATCCATTCATCATTAAAATTTCGATTTCGATTACTACTTCCTATCCGTTTAAATTTTTTAATGTATCCCCATATTCTAGATACTGGTGTTAACCTATTAAAACTACCTACTAATTTATGCCAAGATTCTTTGCATTCATTTTTCAATATTTTTTTCTTAAGAGCATCAATTTTTTTATAATGTATCCAATTTTCTATAGTAGATGTAGAACGGTATGCTTTTAATGCTTGTTTTGATTGATTAACAGCATCAGTACATTTTTGATTCCACCAAGGGACTGGTTTTCTCAAGGCTAATGTGTTTGATTTTCTTTTGCGTTTTGGAATGGTTTTATCCCGCAAATCATTTAAAATGTCAATCAAATTATTATACATATTAAGAGGACTCTCATTGCTACAATCTATTTGAGAAAAAGAAGTTTCAGATAGGGAGTAGTATTCATTCCAGTTTGCTTTATTATAAATATATTTCTCTTCTACAGGAGTCACATCATATGAAGAAGGCTGAACATTCACGTCGAGCAACGTCGGGAGGTGATAGCTACCCAATGGATCATTGTGTACATACCATTCACATAAATGAGCAACCTGAGAACTAACAAGAGCCAAGTCTATTGCTGAAGCTTGCTTATTGGGATATGGAATTGTTGTTGGTGTACCATCATTTATAATGCACAAATCACAATCATCTATTATATTGTATAATGACCTGCCTCTATTATTATCGCTGTGGCATCCAAAAGCTACGTGATGCGCATTGAAATCTCCCATAATTATGCTTGGTTTAGGTATGGAGTTAATGAGTGTTTTTAATTTATTACAGTCAAATCGATTATTATTATTACTTGGTGGGCAATATATACAAAGTATAGTTATGGGACCAGATTTCGTCTCTAATAAAATACATATGTTCTGGATGGATTCATGAAATACTGTATTAATAACACTGTACTTCAGTCCATGTTTAATTAACATACCTACCCCATTATGAGAATTTTGAGAGATCTTGTGAATGAAATTGTATGATGGAAAATGTGGGATTTTACTATTAGATTTGAGCCATGTCTCATTAAGTAAGCAGATATCTATGTTTTTGTCATTTAATAAATTTTGTAATAAGGCTTTTTTGTTGTGTAAGCTTTGTATATTATATTGAAGCAAATGTAAATACTTATCCATTAAATTAAATGTGATAAAAATGTCTCTCTGATTTTCTTAGAATTTAAAGGTGTTTTTTCCTTTTGGTTGCCTAAAGCAATTAAAGATTTTACAATAGCATTCAGTATTATTTCATTATTTGCAATTTGATTGATATCAAATTCCTTAGAGTTTTGACTTTTATAGTTAAGTTGGGGGTAATTATTCATATCATTATTGGGAGGTGTCGCACTCACCACAGTGGCATAAGATTGCTGTGAATATTTCTTCATATTCTCTTCCATCTTCTGTTTCTTCACTGGACAATCTCGGGATATGGCCAAATGGTTGCCGTTGCAATTGATACAAGTAATTTCGTCTACTTCGCATTCTTTATAGGAGTGATGTCCAGCACATGAAGAGCACATCTGGTTTCCTCTGCAAACCTTGGCTGAGTGATTGTACCTCAGACATTTGAAGCACTGTAAAACTGGAGGAATATATTGGTGAATCTGATACCGGAATAATTGTATATATGCATGTAGAGGTAAAGAAGTTGTGGCAAAAGTTACTGCTACTGTTGTTAAGGGTATTAGCCCCTCGTTAGTTTTTTTCATAAAGCGTTTGACTGATATTACTTCAGCGTCACAAGTTATATTTTTATAAATTTCTTCATTAGACAGTTCTTTGGGAACAAACTTAATTATGCCAATTTTCTCAGTTAGATATGCTGGGATGAAAGCCCGCATGCTGTATTTAGCTAAGAAGTCTTCCATTTTTAAAAAGTAATTTGCTGAAGAGACTTTCTTAAAGGTGACGCCAACTTTATGTGCATTTACTCGGTGAACTCCAGCAATTCCTTTCACATTATCAGTAAAAAGTTTTGTAAGAGAGATTGGGTTTTTATTACCTAGTTTCTCTTGTTGTGTGGATTCTACATACACTGTGTACTCTCCTGAATTATTCTCAATAAATAATCTTTTATAGTTTCCTTTTGTATAAATTTTATATTTATCGTTCTTTGTATTGCTGTTGATTACGTTATTTAGTTTTCGTTTCTTTTTTACCTCTCCTGGGTCCTCCCCATCGCTGGGGGGCCCCATCTTGATATCAAATTTATTTTTCCAATAAAAGTCGCTTAGGAAAACCAAGAAAATTAAATAAAATGAAAATAAAGTTTAAAAGTTAGCGCTCTATTTGACTTCCCGCCAAAAAGGCCCTAGCCCTAATATCGCCATTTCCCATGAATTAAGTAGCCTAATATCGCCCAATTTCAGTTATAGTAGCCTAAAGTAGCCCAAACACAAAAACATCAATATGAATAAAATAAAATGTAGTTTTTATCAATTTATTTATAATATACGTTCAAAAGACAGTGATCAGGAGGCATAAGCCATCTTTAACACGTTATAATGTAATTAAAATTTACATTTTAAAAACTAATAAACAAATTAACAAAAATTAGAACTAATCTGATTCGTCCTCTGCTAGCAATAATAAGGTATTAACAAGACTTTCACCGACTTCAGAAGTTGTTGATGTGCTAGTTCTGGCGCAAGATCCACCGGAGACATAAATTTTTCTGCCAGCGTGTAAACTGACCATGTAATTACTTGGTTCAAAGTTGTTACAACACATACCTCTTACATTCATATGGGTTGAATTCTAAGAATGGCAATCAACATGGGTAGTTGCATGCGATTCCTTAATTTTGTTTTGATTGTCCCCATTACGCTGAAAATTCTTTCAACGACGGCATTACTCAAAGGTAATGAAAGGCATCGTATCGAAAACTCTGCTAGTTCTTTTAACATCTGGCTTCCACCAGCATTCGTCATTTTTAGCGCTTGTATCCAAAAATTACACTATACACACGCACGCGCGGCCGTATGCCTTTTTACCTTAAAAAACTTGCCCCTAGAGTAGCCTAATTGGCGACCAGTCGCCTTTTAGATTTTTTCGTCGCCAGTTCTCGTTCTGAGTAGCCTAAATGGCGAAAAATCGCCTACTCGATTTTGAGTTTTCGTATCGATATTTTTCCACCCATATCTATCTCAAGAAGTCGATAATTGATGTTTACTACCGTTAAGTAGGCATGTCGATTCACTTGAAAAAAAAACGATTTTCGATTCGAAACGAACATACTAGTACAATATAATATATTGTACTTGTATTAATGGTAAATTATCACGATTAATCGAAAATCGATATTTTAATGCTTGATTAAATTTAATGTACATAACTTATGTTATATAAGTGATACCACGGCCTCGCAGAAAATCGACGTGAAGCAACACTTGCGTTGTGTTTCGTCGTGTGAGTGAGGGTACCGGAGGCGCAACCCTCCCTTCCCTCTCTATGATTGCGCAGTTGAAAAGAAGCAATTTTTTACCCCAGGAGGGTTCTAACTGCGCTAGCGTTTGGGAATCCCTCCCCGGACGTCCACTTCCAGGGTGCAATATACCTGTATAATAGCGTGGACGCCCAGGCCGCCCCTCGTATTCTGGGGAGGGGCAAAACTGCGCTCATGCATGTCCAGTGAAAGAATAAAATCACGGCACCTCCCTCATGGCTGTGGACTTCTGCAACATCAAAGGGCTTCATACCAACCTAAATGCTGTCCATCACCACCTAGAAACGGCAAAGCCGGCCTTATTCTTTTTGACCGAGACGCAGGTATCGTCTCCGGCGGACACTTCTTACCTGTCCTACCCTGGGTACGGACTGGAGCACACTTTCATACCAAAGGCCGGTGTATGTGTGTACGTCAGAGACGATATTTGTTCTCGGCGCCTTGGTCACCTTGAAAGTAGGGACCAGTCCATCCTATGGCTTCGTGTAGACAGCGACGCTTGACGGCTATGCCGAAACCGACCGACTCATCGAGCACGTTCAAATGGCTGCAGACTCTGTGCAGCAACAGATCCCACTCGCATAGATCATGATACTGGGCGATTTTAACGCTCATCATACCGAATGGCTGGTTCTAGCAAGACCGATCAGGCGGGGAGATCTGTTCACGCCTTCGCTCTCGCACAGGACTTGACACAACTACGCCCTCGCGAAACCCAGATGTCGAGAGTCATGATCATCCGCCGGTTCTTTCCTATGAGGTGAAACTTTTCCCCGATTTTAGGGTAAGTTTGGAGATTTACCCCAAAAAGATGAAAAGTAGAAGGAGCCGTTTGAGAATTTCAAAAATGCTTTTCCTCGATGAAGGGCACTCTCCGAAATGACATTTGGCCATTTTCATCGTCGTCAGCTGGTAACCCTGGTGGTTACGGCGATTTGAAAGATTTCACCCATTTTTTACTTTGTCGACTATTGCCACTATAGCGCAGTCGGTATTGCCACAAGGAAAATGTAAAAACTGCATCGGATGCGCTATCGAGTTGGCCACACTGGTACGGAGCCGGATTTTCAACATCCAAGATGGCGACTAAACAAGCGGCCGTTTTATCTGAAAAATTGGTATCGTCACCACATCGAACCGATTTTGCCGCACTCGACGACATTTATCAGAGTACTTCCGGGAAAACATTTTTAGGCAAGTAGCTAAAGTGTTGCCAGGTGAAAAAAAAACTTGAAAACTATTGATACTTTTTGAGATTTTGGAGGCAACACTTTTCATCGAAATTTGGATTTTTTTCGATGCAAATATTTTACTTTTAAATTTTCAAGACACCTGATGGTAAAAATAAAATGATCGTCTGGCAAGACTGAGAGCAAACAACGTTTGAAATTCAACCTTGATTTTGACAACATTTCATTTCATTATGTATCTCTAAAAACTCATTCATATGGTGGAAAAAAAAATACCTGATTTTAGGGTAGTTTTTGAGATTTACCCCAAAAACTGTAACTGTCAAAGGAACAAATTTAGAACTTGAAAATTGGTATCCATCGATATCCCCATTTGACTGTTTTCATCGCCTACACCTGGCAACTATTTAACTAGCGCAATCATTATAGCCGCTAGGAAAATAATAAAAACTGCGTAGGATGTGCTAATAGGTGTGCTACACCGGTATGAGATTCAATTTACAGAATTCAAGAAGGCGACTTAAACAGCGACCATTTTATCTAGAAAATTGATAATTTTTCACGACTTTCACTTTATAGAGCTGATTTTAGTGTTTCTGGTAACATTTTTAACTGTGATTTTTAATTTAGAACTGTGAATAAACCAAAAAGCGCGCGAAGCGAGCCCTAATAAGTGGAGACCTGGTCAATCGGTTAAGGAACTGTGACCAAAATAAAGAGCGAGCGAAGCGAGCCTAAATGCGAGACCATTAAGCGCTTTCTCTCAAATTTTTGAGTTAAGCTCATCAGTTCTTCGCAGTAGAGATTTGATGGTCCTGCCTGGTGGTTTTGATGATTTTTTAAAATTATAAATAAACATTATTTATACTTAAGTAAAAACTTTATTGGATTTTTTTTTATTATTTACAGAGTAAAGTCCTCCAATTCAATTTTAGGGGTATTTTTCATTGTTTTTTTTTTATGGGATAGGGGGCAGACGAGCAGACGGATCACCTGATGGTAAGTGATTACCGTCGCCCATGGACACCTGCAACACCAGAGGGGCTACAAGCGCACTGCCGGCCTTGGAGAGAAGGGGTGAGGGGTAGAGGGAAGGGAATAGGGAGGGGTTGGGCCTCCGGTACCCTCACTCACACGACGAAACACAACGCAAGCGTTGCTTCACGTCGGTTTTCTGTGAGGCCACGGTATCACTCCGGTCGAGCCGGCCCATTCATGCTGAAGCATATTATTAATATTCAATTATATAATAATATTCAATTATCTTTAAAATCTGCTTCAATATATTATGCGTCACACTGTTGTTCTGGACTTTCCTGAAATATAAAAATATATATATCTTATATGAAAAATATTTACACGAGTTTGAAGTGGTAATCAAAATTACCCTTTTTCGTATACGGTGACTACATAATATTTCTTCTTCGTTTCTGTTTTCATAATGTAAACATAACCTCTAAAACTACATCGAAATTAAATAAAAAGTTCTAAATTGAACATTTCAGTAATAAAATCTGATTATTACAGTTGTCTATAATGTACATTTTTTGTTTATCGTTAATATAAATAAATCTGTCATTTCAGCAACTTTCTTATAAAGATCATTTGACCTAGATAACGCTTTTCTAGCGTTCTACTCTTTATCTTAGGCATCTTAAGTCACTTTTGTAAGTTCCTTCGTCTGTCTCGTGACGAAACAACTACTAAAACTATATAATCTGTGTTAATAGTTCTTTTTCGTAACACCTTCTTGTTCTGTGGTTCTTTTTGACGTTTCTGTGATCGTGTTGAACGAAGACAAAAATGGTTGGTTTATTTTATTTAGTGTTAATCCAATATCATCGCTATTTTATGCGACCAAAATTTTACTAAGAGTGATTTCTTATTGAAGTGAATTTTGTGTTTGCTAAAATATAATGGTATTTCAACGATTGCTGTTTTCCATTTTAGGTGAACGTACCAAAACAGCGCAGGACTTACTGCAAAAAATGCAAATGTCACAAGACTCACAAGGTGTCCCAGTACAAAAAATCTAAAGAAAGACATGCTGCTCAGGGCAGAAGACGTTACGACCGTAAACAACAGGGTTATGGTGGTCAATCCAAACCTATCTTCAAAAAAAAGGTAATGGGTTTTGGAATACCGGGTTGTTCTAATTATGATCTCACTGGGACTGGATATATCTTATGATATGTATTTTATTTCAGGCGAAAACTACCAAAAAAATTGTGCTTCGTCTTGAGTGTGCAGATTGCAAGGTTCGATCACAAGTAGCACTGAAGCGTTGCAAGCATTTTGAGTTGGGAGGAGACAAGAAGAGGAAAGGACAGATGATCCAGTTCTAAGCTGGTTGTAATAAATAAGTTAACAGCTAATTCATTTTGTTTTATTTATATGAAGAATTTTGTAGGTCTTAACAATTTAGTGACATGCATTGATTAGAGGAATGTGAATTGTGAAACACAGGGCCAACTAAAAATGAATAGACCATAGGTAAAGTTATATAGTTCATTTGTTTATAATTTGTTCCAAAACATCTGGATCTAGTCCTTCAATGGCAACCTTCAACTTGACTGCTTGTAAAGGCACTCCAACTTGCACCATCTTAACAAATCTATCATACTCTGGTTGCAAAGTTATTTGTGTGGTTTCATTTATTTCCTTTATTTCTTCATTGTTTGTTTCTAATTCATTTGCTGTTTCATATTCCTGTTCTTTGTTTTCATCAGTCTTTTTAGCATCTGTAATTCTATTTATCTCTGGAATTGATGATAACTGAAACAGAATTGACTAATTGATACAAACAATTTCAGTAATTGTTTTAAAAAAAAATTGCCAAAACAATCTTACTCTTGTTTCCAGTAATACCATAGCAGCTTCCACCTTCTCCAGTTTCCTTTCGAAACTCATTAACTTTTGTTCACATTTCTTTGCAAAATTATTTAAGAATTGAACAGTAGTTAGAACGAAGTGGTTAACAAATGCCAATGTTCTTTTTTGTTGAAGAGCTGCAATCTAAGAGAATTTGAATTTAAGACTTCTAACTTAAGTCAGTGGGTTGAATATTTCAAATTTCTATGTAAATTATTATAAGCAAATTACAAAAATTTTGTAGTAATTTATAAAAACATTTTACATACTGTTGAAAGATCCAAATTAGCTATATCCTGTGCTGTACTACCTTGCATTATGAAATTTAAAGAACTTAAGGAAATATATTATATTATCTGTGCTTTGTTGTAAATCTATGTCTTGTATTTACATTATTTTGACAATTATTAATAATTCGGTACCTATCACAGTACCTATTTAGAAAATTCTAAAATCGAATGGAAACGTGTTGAATTATAAGGATGTCTGTCAATAATTAATCGATTATTAAAATCGATTTTTTATAAAAGTTGGTTGCTTATTTATCAATAGCGATGTTATCTGTATATTAAAATTACTAAAACAAGCAAAAAAAATCAGACGTCATAATAATGAATAAAGCTTATACTTAAAATATTACATAGTAACAAAGTTAAAAAAGGGGTGACTTTCCTTTAAAAATAATTTTAGCCAGCGTTTGCATGTATTAGTCACATCCAAGCTATTTCAGCAACCTAAAGTCTACAAAAGAGCGATGGATATACGAGAACTTTGTATGCGTGTGCGAACGAAGTAACAGAATGTCAATATACTTTTGAATTGATTAAATACCTATATGTTCTCACGTTCGTTCGCTTTCGGGGTGATCAGGTAACTGACCTTAAATCTAGTGTTATCGCATTTACATAAAAGAAACATTAGTTTTGACTTCAGTGCGTTGTGGATATAATTAGTTATCAAACGTAGATAGTTTTGATATCGATGATTAACGTTCCGAATTTTGTTTGCGTTACATGATTTAAAAAGCAATAACAACCCGTTACAACTACAAAGTTCAAAACTTAGACATCAATATCAATACGAAAAAGTAAAAATAGAATATGAGTTGTTTATTGAGTTTCGAAAACTAATTTACTTTTGTACATGAAAGAAAACCGGAAGAGCTGCCATGGAGAAATCAAGAAAGAGCCGTATCGACATCTAGTTTTATTTCGTGATTTCTCCATTACAATCTTTCTGGTTTCTTTCATGTATAGAAATAAATTAATTTTCAAAACTCAATAAATAACTCATATTCTATTTGTACTTTCTCGTATTTGTATTGATATCTAACTTTTAAAAGGAACGAAAATGATTATCTTTGGTTTATTCGTTTCCTGCAAAAATCAACTTATGGTAGAGTCGGTACTTCGTTAATGCTTTCTTTTTTTTCTTAAAATACTTCCTCTTTGTTGTATTTTGCTTGGGACCTTATAGTAGAAACGCACACAAAGACCCTTGAATAAGTTATTAACTTTTTGCAGTCTAGTGACAGGCACAATTTCAGTTTTTTAATATGTTAGTTAAAAGGAACGGAAATGACTGAATCCATTCATTTCCTGCAAAAATAAACTTTTGCTGGAGTCGCCATTTAGTGGAGGAGCTTTTTTAGTTCTTTCGTTTTTTTTTTAATACTTCTTCATTAAGTGCTTTTTGTTTAAACATCCATCTCTAGTATCCAAACCAAAGTACTTGATATCGAAAGAAAAGAATCGATTAAGTACTTGTATTTACTCGTATCGTTTATCCTTAGGTCATAGGTATTGTCAATGTCAAATTAGTAAAATAAATTTGTTGTTTTGTAAAAAAGAGGTTTTTGTTTTGTTTCGTATCGTATTGTTTGGGATTGGCTTCGATAAGTAAAAATTTTAGTGTGATCAAAATGGCAGGGGAAGTTGTTGTAGACGCGTTACCATACATTGACCAGGGCTATGATGATCCAGGAGTTAGGGAAGCGGTAAGTAAAGCGCATTTAAAAGTTAGAACAGAAATATTGTTAGTAAAATATTGCAGATTCATATAAATTTGTCACTACCAGGCTTTAGCTATGGTGGAGGAAGAATGTAGACGTTATAGACCAACAAAAAATTATCTAGAAAACGCTGGACCAGAACTGAGTACATCATTTGAAACGCAAGCGCTGCAAAGAGAAATGGAACGTGTACAACAGCGATTACCGATGGAACCATTGTCAATGAAAAGGTAAGGATTCGACAATTTAACTTTGAGTGAAAATGTAAGCAGTAGTTTGTATGCTGTATAATATAGTGTATATGGTATATTGATTTCAATGAAATGCTATGCAATGGGTTTATTTTCCAGATATGAGTTGCCTCCTCCACCGGCTGGTCGTCTAGGAGAGCCGGCTGCTTGGGCAGAGTCAGTTGATAATTCTCATGCACAGTTGTCACACCAGGCTATTAGGGTGTTGAACTTAGAATTGCAGCTGCAGTATGGCTCTGAGGCTTGGAGGTCATATTTAAATACATTACAAGCACTTGTCACTCGGGCCCAAAATGTCCATACACAGTTACGGTTTGTATATTTTATATTGAAAATGTATATTTTTTTTCATAATTATTGTACATAACAAATCTTCATTAATACCTATTATTATATTGTGATATTTGAAGAATACATATAATGTTGGATCACATATTGTTAGCAATATATAATTAGATTATATGTAATCATATTTTATGCTCACTATATTTAAAGAAAAAAATGAGTATGGTTTAATTCAAATAAAATGAAGTTCATAAACAAAATATTAGTCTTCACAACCTAAATCTGGTTGTAGTTTTGTATTAGAAAATTCTATTGAAAAGATTGTGATGTTTGAGGTTACTATGGTGTTATAGGAAACAAATAGCATCAGTTAACTGGGAACGTAAGAGGTCACAAACAGCAAGTGGAGCTCGGTTGCGTGCACTGCGCAGACGCTGGGCACATCTTGTCTCAGACAACTACAGGCTGGAGAGAGCTGTTATGCAACTTGAAATACAACTGCAAAAGGTAAATATTACAAACTATTGTTTTTTCAATACTTTACAATCTCAAGAGAGATAGGATAATTTTGATTTTTCAATTTTTCAGGCTAAAGGTCAGACTCCGTCTGATGATGGTGAGCCAGCAGATATGGAAGCGGTGAAATTATTGCCAGATAAACTCAATTCAGAGTCTGAAAAGGAAGTTCAGAAGAAAATTGAAGATATGTTTGCAGATTAGTTTTTAGGAGTACAATTTTATAATAATAATGGAAAGTTGTTTAATTTAAATCCATATTTTAAATATTCTGAACTAATTTAAGTAATCTAAACTATTTCAAATGAAACTATTATACATACTGTCAATATATTTCATGAGTATCTATTTTTGATGACAATAAAGTTGCACAATAAAATTGCTCTATGTAATGGCGCTGATCACATGGTATTTGTGAAATCACATGCCAGTAAACAGAACCTGTTAAGCATTAAATTTTTTAAAAATGTTGCAATTTCTTTGTTATTTTACTAAAGCAAACATATTTTGTCTGCAAATTCTAAGAAATAAACTTTATAATAATAATAATTGCGTTTGAATAGGGTATACAGAAGAGATGTAAAAGGTAATAATACAATTATCGCCTATTCAGCCATTAACAATAGCATGCAAATGTAGTAAAAGAAGACACTATAAGCACTGAATAATCCACCCCAGGCTAAATTTTAATTTTAATAGTGTCATATACATAGTGTAAATAACAACCGTGTGACGTCATACGAAAATAGTAAGTATAGATAGCAAAAAAGTAAAGAAATATATTAATTATTAAAATATTTAAGAATAATCTCCAAAATATTGTAATAAAAATTAAATAACATTTTTTTAAATAACTTTTGTTGATTTATATCCTGAATTTATATTACATATACCACAATATTGAGGTATATGGAAAATAAATCTGGACCTGAAAAGCATTAGGTCGGATGTATAAAAACTGTATAAAAACAGAAATAGCTAAATGCAATCAAAATATTTGAAAAAGTCGTCTGATCCGACTTTATGCATGACTGTTGCTCATGAGTAAAAAGGCACAAACATACAAGAGTTAATTTGCCGGAAAGAGAAAAAAGAGTGTAGCAACGTTATGGCGATAAGTGATTTTAGCTGGTTCTGCACATCCGACCTAATGCTTTTCAGGTCCAGAAATAAAAAAGTATGAAAACTTTTACTTTGTAATAAATAACGCTATAATAAACGGAAAGATTTTTTTTAAATATAAACAAAAGTAAAAACAAATTAGATATATTTATTATTAGTGAAATTATGTTCATTTACTGTAAAAATAATAATAGCAGTTTCTATTTACGATAACTAAGAACAAAACTTAACAATAAAAATCTAAAACAACCAAAACATAACAAAAATTGTGTGCGATCTCAACACAACCCAACTCAAGTGTATTTGTCAACCAGTGTTTATTTCATAGTGGAATAATATAGGTTACTAGTGGACGCCCGCGACTTCGTCCGCGTGGAAGTCGGTATCCCGTGGGAGTGAGAAGTTTTCCCAGTAAAAAGTACCCTATGTGTTATTCTGATGTATAACCTATATTGCTGTAAAGTTTTATCCAAATCCGTCCAGTAGTTTTTTCGTGAAAGAGTAACAAACATCCATACATCCATACTTACAAACTTTCGCCTTTATAATATTAATAGGATTTGTTTAAGTGAGTGATAGACGAGTACGGGAACTAGTGGCTCGACGCCTCTTTTACGTACGGAAATTATGTACTAAAGTGTGACACACAAGAGAAAAAGGTCACCAAAATAGCGACCAGGCGCATTAGCAATTTGCGGGAATTCTACAAGTGATCACTATATTCAATTTATTACAAGCGCAGTGTTAAAATACAACTTTAAATAGTTTTTGATTTTCGTTACATTTTGCCTCCTGAGATTTATGATCAACTAAGTTGGCAGCCCTTGTGCGAAGCATTGTACAAAAATATTTTTGACTTTGAACGCATCTTTACTTTCTTTCGATTGTCATTTGTCGCCATCTGTCAATTTTATTTGAAAATGGCGGACGATGCATCGAGCAGTAGCGGTTGTGCCGGTAATTTAGTGGATAATTCAATAAATCAAGATGAACTGATTATGAAACAACAGCGGGAGATTGAGAAAGAGGTAATAAATATCTTGTGACCTAATTTATACTGTACATACTTACAGTTTTCAGTAAAATATTTGTGTTCAGCTGACGTGTGTTTGTGTTTGTTTTTTCAGATATCAGAGTCGATACCTTTAGTCGGTGAACTTGAACCTCTATCATCATTAGAAAAGGAATACAATGAAGATCCAGTATATCTCTTAAAAGTAAAGGATCTCTCGTCGAAATATAAACATATCAGGAGAACACGTCCCGACGGTAACTGCTTTTTCAGGGCCTTTTCATACGCATATTTAGAGCACCTTCTGACAAACAAAGAGGAATATGAAAAGTTTTATGAAATTGCGAAAAATTCTAAAGAAATTCTCCTAGCTTTAGGGTTTTCCCAGTTTACTGTGGAAGACTTTTATGAAACTGTGAGTAATTTGTACCATTCTAGGTTAAGTTTGTAAGTTTAATTTCGATTTGTTTGATATAGTGGCATTCAAATATTATTTTATATTATTTATTTATATGTAAGCTGGTTAAACTGAGTTTGTACTGATATGCCATCATTATATATTTGTAGTTTATGGAAGTAGTCCAGAGAGTAGGAGAACAAGCAGGTGGTTCTCCTGATGGTCTGGAACCTGTACGTGTGGAACTTCATGACAAGTTCAACAAGCAAGGCTATTCAGACTATATCGTGGTTTACTTACGTCTTGTTACTTCTGGTCAACTGCAAACGCAGCACGACTTTTACCAAAACTTTATTGAAGGCCCTCGGACAGTCACTGAATTTTGCAGACAGGTAAATAATTCATCTTCTGAATTTAGAAGAAAAGTAATAATTTAAAAAAAATTACATGAAGTGCGAGTGTAACTTTATTTTTGTTTTAATAAATGATGTAGAATGGAAATAAATTGACTGATATAGAATGAATATTAATGCTGGAAAGCAGACACATAGTAACTTGCAAAACCAAAATTTATCTTCACAGCAGAATAACTTTTTGATTACATTGGAAAAAATATTTTATGAACTTACAAAATGTAATATAATTACTATGTTAACCAGTATGGTATCCCTTACTTGATTAATACAGAAATAAGATTTTTCTATTGTAAACATAAATGTTATTCTACTTCTGCTTCAATATGTTAGAAAGGAAACTTTTGAAGAAAGTAATAAACTTATCAAGCTTGATTTTTTTTATAGGAAGTGGAACCAATGTATAAAGAGTCTGATCATATTCACATTATAGCACTTAGTAATGCTCTCAATGTTGGAGTGGGAGTAGAGTATATGGATCGTGGCGAGGGAAGTCAGGTATATGTAGTGATATTTAATATTGCCTTCAAAATATCATCGTCTTAACATCTTTATGTATGTTTTATGTACTGTCCTGCGATTCATTAAAAATATGGACTAAATTTGACTTCACTCAGGTCTCTGAATTCACTTCAAAAGCTCATCAACTCAACGTTGAATTGGTAATAATGTTTTGTGGCAAAAGAAAAATAACGAATATTTGGTACATATATAAATCATCAATCTATCTTGTTTTGTACTTTTATACAAAAATGGCATCAATATAATTTCTACACTAAATGACGTGAATTCTGACACATGAGTGAATTCGAATTCGAGTTTAGATTTTTACAGAATCGGTTTACTGTATATGTAAAATATATATAAATGTTAGATTATAGTGTTTGTTGTTATAGTTAAATACGTCATTGTTGTTGTTAAATACGTCGTCTGTGAAAATTTCAATTGTCTAGCTATTACAGTTTATGCGACATGTTCTGTTGACAGACAGTGGACATAAGCTCCTTTGTTTACCTTTTAATCCCTCTGAATATCTTTAATATCAAGTCATAAATATTGTCAAATCTGGAATATGTTATAGCAGTTTTGAAAAACATTGTTATAGGATTTTATCTTTTTAAGGTTAAACTTTTTGAATCACCAAATAAATCTTATTTGATAATTGGTTATTAAAAGAAAACATTGTTTTATTTGTAGTGTAAGGTAGAAATGTTTTTTTTTTTTTTATTTCAATAGAGGAATTCTGAAAACTTGCTTTGACAAATGACGTCAGGTATCATTATATATATACCTAGTCTAGCCATAAGCTCTGTTACAAAGAAAATATCTGATGATTTCTAAAAAACTTGATTTTATTTTAAAGTTTTATATGTGATTATGTAGAGTAAAAATGTTATGTTAACATACTAAACTAGTTATTCAAAATGTCCACCCTTAGCTTTAACGCACGCTTTTAAACAGTCGGGCCATTCGTCGATAGATTTACGAACGGTTCGGTGGAAATTCAAGAAATCTTTGGAGGAACGGTGGAAGCTGCCTCCAAAGATTTCTTGAGCGACTCAATATTTGGGTGACGCTTAGATCAGGCCATGTCCTCTAGCACAGACCACAATTTATAGTCCAAAGGATTTAATTCCCGACTAGCCGAAGGCCAATCATCAGCCCTTATAAAAGTCTGTAACATTTTGCCAAAGATAGTGCGCGCCTTATGACCCGGGGCTGAATCCTGTTGGAATGTCCACACTTCGTGTTTGAATAAGATGTTGTTGAGAGGTGTAACACGGTACACTTTGGGTGAAGTTTTCACTCCTTTTTCAAAACAATGGAGTTTTGTAACCCCTTTATAGGAGACACCCCACCAAACCATGACTGGATGATGGCCTCGCTGAACTTTGGCTACTACCTCGGAAACTTCTTTAGAGCTGTGTGCATAAACTCAATAATTTTTTTTGTTGTAGTGGTCCCCGATTGTAAAAATGTTTTCATCGGAAGTGACAGCTGTTATGATCTTTCGACTCTTTTGTTTTAGTGTCAGATTTAAGGTATGTCCTTTGTATCTCCGGTAAGCCCCTAGACCTAAGTCTTGTTTGATAATCCGAGAAAATGTCCTCGGTGGGATTCTCATTTCTCTGGAAAGGATTTTCTGCTTCCTTATGGGATTTCGATGAATTCTGGCCTTGACTGCATTAATGGCCTGGTTTGTTCGAATAGACCGCGGTCGGTCGGATCTCTCACGGTCATCAATAGACATGGTTTCAGTCTACCTTTAGATGGTACGATACATAAACATTTGGCTAATCCCTAGCTTTTTCAATGTGTCAATTATGTCGGCTGGCACCTCACCTACTTTGTACAGTGCAATTACTGCAATCCTATTCTCTTTAGTGCACCACTCCATTTTCAAAACAAATAATTTCTAAACAAAAACATACAATAATGGCGGGAAAGAAGTCTATTTTTTATTGTAGAAGCTAATGTTCGAAATTGTTTTTTTTTTTAAATGTATGTAAACAGCCAGTAACAGAATTTATGGGTAGACTAGAGGTATAGGTATTCGGAACATTCTATTACACGTAGAATATACTTTCAATTGATATGTCTAGGTTAGGAGTTATGTAGACTTTATCTAAAAGGTTGTTTGTTTCTGTATGCCAATTATATTCTTATTTCCTGTAAAGTTTTGTGTTACATTAGTGTTTGATTTAGTTTGGCTGATATTTGATGATACAGTTAATTCATTGTATTTATATTTTATTTTATATTTGCACAGGTGATCGCCCATGTGTTCCCTGAAGGTGCCAAGCCACTCATCCACCTGCTGTATCGACCTGGACACTATGATATATTGTATGCATGATCGTGATTACTTAGCAGTGCTGCATTCTTATAATAAAAAAAATATTACCATACCAACATATTTGTTTTGTTATTAAAAACCAAATCTATAAAATAAGTAAAGTGTTCAATATTTGCTCCTAAAGAGAGTAAGTAACTAAAACGTTACCATGAATGGGACTCCCTAATTCTGGAAAAGAGCAAATTACTGTCAGCGGCGGAGTTTAAAAGAAAAACTCAAATATTTATTATAGCCAATGCTTTCATTGATTTCAACTGACTGCGTTTTGTTATATACCTATATCTATAGTAACATTATATAAAATTATCATCGACCATTTAGCAATGATGAATCCAGGGGAGGGGCGGGGTTTAACGACTTCCCCTGCTTTTTATTTGTATCTATTATTATTTTTAAATTTTAATTTATGATTTGATACTTTTCGACTCCCCTCCCCTCTCCCCGTCGCGATAAAGTTGGATCCGACTTTGATGGAAAGATATGATACACGGGTGCAATACTGGCTGCGCTTGAGACGGTTTGACTATTTTCAAAGTCGGAGCCACCTTAACCACATAGTGAAGGTGGCTGCAGATACATCCATGACGACGCACAAACACTTGGTTGAAGGGGCCCTGAAAACGACTAAATTTATCATTATATAAACAATTTCTTTGAAGGACGTAAGAATGATTAAGTCAGAATACCGTTAATACTAACAGCAGAGCGATTCTGTAAAAAAACTAACCCGAATTGGAATTCACTCATGTGTTGTGTCCGAATTTACGTCCTTTAAGTGTAGAAATTCTATTGATTCCATTTTTGTATAAAAAAAACAAAAACAAAATTGTTTGAATCATACATATCTCAAATATTCTATTCCTGTCATTTTGAAACTCACTTATGCCACGAAACTTTATTACAAATTCAAGGGTGAGCTGATGCCGCTTTTGAAGTTAATTCTGACACTAGAGTGATTTTGAATTCTGGTTCGAAGGGTAGTTCGTACTTTATTCCAATTCGCGTCTATTTGTTAAAAATATTTTCTTAAGTTGACGTTTTCGTAACTCAACCATAAATTTTATAGTCTTGGATCATAGAGATGCGTTTATGTAAGTAATCCTATTAAAATTATAAATGTGAGTTTCTTTGTTTGGATGTTTGTCGGTCAATCACGCCGAAACTAATGAACGGACTTAGATAATAGGATGCTTTTTTATCCCACTAAACATTAACCTAGAGACCGCGGGCGAAGCTGCTGGCGAAAGCTAGTTTACTACATGTAAGTCTTTGACATAAAAACGCCGTCTTCTTTGCGTTAGCCATTTTTACAATGATTTTTAGAAGGGAAGAAAATAAAAAACAAGCGTGAAAGAAAAGATTATAATTAAATATTAATGTGACTTCTACAAGAAGGTTCAATTATTAAAAAGGGAATGTCAGTCAGAAACTGAGAGATATAAAATTAATTCTTATTTATAAAACTTATCGGCAAAAATATACACCGTCGGGCGCACGTTTGGGCTTCATTCCTGCAAAGAATGCCTTTATATCTTCTTCCTTGACAACCTCTTTGCGATCTTTGAAACTCTTCAGGAAGTCCAATAATTTGTCCCTCATTTTATTGTACTCAGTTAAAGCATTTATTTGTTGAATCCTGTCCAATGAGGACAATGCTTCAAGCCCCTTCTCATACTGAGAGGCCGCAGTTCCATTTATCTTTTCTTTTCCTAATGTTTCATATGCAGTGACTGTATCTTCAGGATCAATTAGAAACAATACTGATAGATCTTTGTACATGGATATACATTCATTACAAGTACATAGCTTTTGGCGGAAGTTAGACGGCCAAAATGTGGCACCTTTATATCTTCTTTTTGTGTTTTGTGGTTTAACGCATTTTTTAGATTCATCTAATTTGGCTTTCTTAGTTTTAATTTCTTCTTTAGACTGCTCAGTTGACAGTTTCCTTTTATTTTCTGAAACATTTGGTAGGTCTGAATCTTTGGTTTCTTGTATATTTTTGTCAAAAGTTGTATCACTCTGGGAAACTTCATTTTCAACAAGTACAGACTCTACATTCGTTTGTGCAGTATCAAGAGATGCAGATTCCTTTTCAACAGGGTCTGAATCTTTGATTTCTTGTATATTTTTGTCAAGAGTTTCATCACTCTGGGAAACTTCATTTTTAACAAGTACAGTCTCTGCATTCGTTTGTGCAGTATCAAGAGATGCAGTTTCCTTTTCAACAGGCTCTGCGTCACTTCTAATCAAAAGTTCAGTTTCATTTTTAGGAGTTATACTCTCAACAGGGCTAGACGTAACTTTGTCTTCACTGGTTACTTCTTTCTCATTGTCATTATCCAATTCGGATTTTTTGGGTGATTCTTCCAATTTACTTTCACTAGACTCCATTTCAATATCTTTATCTATGTTACTACTACTTATAGGCTCATTTTCATGGTTACTGTCACTAACTTTAGGCTCCTTATTATTTTCAAAATCTGTACTAATGCTACTAGTATCCGGTTGTATTACATTTTCTGATGATTTATTTATATCATTTTCAGAAGCTGTACTCGAAGGCTCTATTGGATTTTCATTTAAAGTGTTTTCTTCACATTCTTTATTTACATTACTATTACTTGTCTGCTCTTTTTCATTGTTACTGTCATTTTTTTTCAAATCTGTGGTTTCATTATGGCTGCCACTAATTTCTACATTTGCAATAGTTTTGTCTGAATCCTGAATCCCTAAAGTTATATTAGAGGATTCCATTGTATCTTCATTTTCTTTATCAGTAGTAGTTGATTGATCGAATTCAGTAAGCTTTTCTTCATTATCAATAACATTATTAGGTTCTTCTATCGAATTGAATTCAGATACCTCTGGTGATTCATCAGGTTTATTTTTACAGGTCACCATTTCAATATCCTTGTTTATATCACTACTGCTTATGTCCTCTTTTTTATCGTTACTTTCATTTGATCTAAACTCTGATTGTACTATGGCATCATTAGATCCTACTTCCGTATTTGTTTTTACCAATTTTTCAGAGTCTTTTGTATGCAATGGTAGTTCATCATCAATTTTTTCCGTCTTCATAATGTCATTAGATATGTTAGTACTATCTAAATTTTCATCCACTTTGCTTTCATCCACACAGGATTTATTTTCAGACAAAACATCTATTTTTTCATTTTCTGGTGTATCAGTTTCCATTTTGTCTTTGTTTTCTTTAACATCATCATCTGTAGTTTCTAATGGACCATCTGGTGATATTGGTTGAAGAGAACCATTAACAGTCACAACATCAATTTCAATTTCAGTCAATTCATTATTGACTGCAAAATCACTATAGTCATGTATAAATTCATTTTTGTCCATACAACCTTTGCAAATCATTTCAGCATATTCATTAGTAGGCACAGTAGCTTCTAAATGTTCAGAGTGAAGCCAATCTTCACAAATTATACATTGAATCATTTCATCATCAATTGGATTTTCAGGATCAGGATATGGTCTATGACATGTGCAATATAATCCACTGAAGTTTTGATTGTAATGATTATCCTCATTAAGTTCTGTTTTGTCAGGTGTGAACTGGCAAGGATGAGAGTTGAATTTAGAGTTACCACAGTCACAGCGATAATTCCTTTTAGTATAGAGCTCCACAAGTTCATGGTTTTCATGACAAGCAAGACTACATGCAAGACATATGCCAGCTCGTTTCGAAGGGTCATTTCTTGCTTCACCACAACAAGTGAGACAAGCATAGATTGCTTGACGTTTAATGTAGCCCTGTAACCAAATTAAACAATTTAATTAATTTATAGTTAAATACTTTACATTAATAATGAACAACAATTAGAACACATTAAAACCATAATTATTATAATATTTATTAAAATATACATTTTTTACTTCTTATATTCTATAAAGAAATATTCTCACTAGCAGTAAAAGTTACAATTAAAAGGTCAAGTCAAGAAGGGCATATGGTGTATGAGCAGAGCTAAATAAGAATAAGCATATATTCTGAACTGGTCTGAAAGTTATTTCTAGAGCCACACATCTAGCATTTACCAGCAATGGTTTTTCATTTCATTTCATTAATTATTAATCAAATAATTAAAATGTAGAAATATATTAAAGAAAAGGTATAAGATATGATTATAATAGTGATTTTAATTAGATTGCATCATATTGTCTGATAATTTTTTTCTTTATTTTGGCATGAAACCGTCATCTTATGATAACAATATTAAAATTATAAAAATAATATAGTAGCAGACCTAGTGCCCAAACTTTTCATTAGGGAATAATTGTATGGGTTTAGGATTTTGAGACCTCCAGCCCACTTGGTACAGTGGGGATTAATGCTTATGTAAACTATGCAATGATAAAACACAAAAGCAAACTAATTTGTTACACGTAATCTGAACCTTCTGAATTTGGAGTAATGTGACATTGTGTTTTAAAGTAATGGACGTTTGCTATCGTCATTTCGCCAGCCATTTTGACAGTCTTTGGGATTTTACTTAGGGAACAATGCGTTACCTTAGAGTAAGTGCAGTTTTTATCGTCGGAGGCTCCTAGGACTGCATTCGCATCTTCTTCGAATTCCTGTTGTTCTTGCAAGACATCCATCATTGTGACAACCTTTTCTCCATCGCATTCGTTTATGTCGGCATCTTCACTAGAACTGACGCCATTCGCTGTCGACATCTTAATTTTTTGATCGCTGTGTATATACCTCAAATTAATCGTAACAAAGAAATTGAAGTAACAGAACGAAATGTAAAAAGCCGGCTAAAAATGAGCGCCAACAAGATTTTCGCACAGACCAATAAGATATACTCACAGAACACTTTTAGATATACTATACTACGTGATTCTCGTATCGAATAGAGCAGACAGACTACAAACTAGAGATGGCTGGCGATCTTAGATCGATTTAAACCATGAATCAATTTTTGTGACGAAATAAAATTAATTTAAAAATCGATATGTAGTTCTGAATCGATTCAGTGAATTATTCAGTTATAATGTCAGGCCGTGGTTGTAAACAATTATATCTCCAGCTGGGTCACGGTTCCCAGTGGTGTGCCTCAAGGGTCGCTGCTTGGGCCATTGCTGTTCAGCATTTTTGTGAATGATATTGACTTATGTTTACATACATCAAAACTGTTATGCTTCGCAGATGACATGAAAATATTCGCAAAGATACGTAGTCTTGACGAAGCCAAACTTTTACAAGAAGATCTTAAGCGGCTCGAAGGTTATTGTACTCTAAATAAACTGGCTTTAAACCCAATTAAGTGCACAGTCATGACCTTCTCTCGTAAACCGAAAATACTTGAATTCAATTATACTCTCCAACAACGGAGTCTTCAACGAGTCCATTCTATGCGTGATCTGGGTGTGGTGCATGATTCCAAGTTATTATATGACGATCATATTGATAGTATAGTATCTAAAGCTACGAAAGCTCTTGGTTTCTTAATTCGTAACACCAAAGATTTCACTGAAGCTAAAACAATCAAGATACTATATTGTTTGATCGTTCGTAGTGGTTTGGAGTACGCCTCGCAAATATGGAACCCACAATACGCTGTATACATTGATAGGCTTGAAAATATACAAAAAAAGTTCTTAAATTACTTGTGTTATCGCATTGGCATTAATTATCATTCCGTTGAATATGATCATCTGTGTAGAAAACACCAACTGTTACCACTGAAGGTACGTAGAAATATAGCGGATGTTACGTTTCTTACCAAGATAGCCTCTGGTTCGATCGATTGTCCTGAGCTTTTATCGCTGTTGAAGTTGAATGTTCCCACCAGAAATTTACGAAATATCAAGCCGTTGAATGTTCCATTCTCAAAAACAAATTACAGACGGAATACTTTCCTATTACGAGCGGGTAAGTCTTTTAATGATTTGAGCACAATTTTGGATCTGGATCTTTTTAACTCTAGTTGTGAGTCAATAAGGTCCAAGATGTCGAAAATGTTTTTTGAAAGTACAAGCGAGCAACTATCCGAGAAATAAGGGATAAAGAAGAAATGTATTATTTGCGTGTGTCCTTTGTGTAATATGTGTCTTGTCATACCTCACAACTACCGAGTGAACTCAAAATTGTTACCTAATTTTAAGGCTAACTGTGTGGATCTTTAATTGGTTATCTGATTTATGTATCGATATGTAATTTCATTTATGCAACCGTTGATCTAATATAACAATATAAATGTAACTTAATTTATAATGTTCAATATTACAATCAAAAGCAAAATTAATTTAAGTAATTGAACCACTTTAGAATCGGCGACTAGGCCAAAGTGCGCCATACGGAGGGGGGAATGTGAACCCTTTTGGTAATATTATATTTCTCTATGGAACTGTCCCTCCCCACCACTAGAGGAGGAAATAAAAACCGCATTAAAGTACGCAACGGACTTTAATGCGGTTTTTTTTTCATAGATATGGTGATTCAAAAGGAAGGTTTTTATGTATAATACAAGACCACAATACTATTACCGTTTATCGACTATTTATTTACACAATCTTAAAACGAATGCAGTTCAATAATATTTAGAATGTTTTCTAGACACACCATCACCTCATAACAAAACTTATTTACATTGTTTATTTAGGAATAAACAAAAGTCATTACTTAAGTAGCAATTTATTTACGCATACAATTCAACTTACGCAATTAATTAACATTCAACATAACGTGCACTTACTTCAACAACGGAAAGCGTACTGTTTTTTTAAAGTATAAGTTCCGTTTAAAAAAGCGTTTGGATTAACCAACCAAAAAAGTTGTTGCAAAAAGTCTAGTTGGATGTCACGCGTAATAGTATACTACAGTGCATTTATGTAAAGTGCTGCCCTTGTAACAACACCCCCTTACACACTAAATAAATAAATAGTTAATTGTCTATAAAGAATTAAAATAAAATTAAATCTATAATAAAATAAATATTAACCAATTATTTGGCCATAATTATAAAGTTGTGATCGTCTAGTGGTAGGACTCTTCGTTGTGTATTATATTTGTAGTAACCATAGATTCTTTGTATCAAGGTGATTGTGAGTGGTTAGAGTATATGTTATTGAGGGCATGGAGAAGATTAGATCTTTAACTAATAAATTAAAATAACCCTAAAAATGTGATAAAATATAGTTGTGTATAAAATAATAAAAGTAAATGTTTCTTCTCTGGTAAACGAATAAAATATAAGAAATGTTTGTTTACTAAATTAAGCTTAAATAATTAAAAGAAATTTACAGCATGGGTATATTAGGTAGGAAATGAAATACAAGTAAACAACAACAATGCCAGAAATTATGTAAAGAAAAGAAAATAAATACAGCATTGCTGATGTTTAAAGTGCTTTCGAGCCCCAACCACGCTCAAAGCCCAGGGCCCACCACACGGATTATTACATATTTTTATTTTCTGAAACTACCTTTAATTTTGTTTTGTTTATTGTCAAAAATGTTAATGATTTAAATGTGAAACTTAATATTCTTTCATGTTATTATTATATACTCTTTATTGCACAAAAAACAAAGTCAACATTACAATAGTATGTAAATCACAAGCAAGGGTGGGCTTATCTCTATAAGAGATCTCTTCCAGCCAACCAGGCGGTGTGGGAGATCAAGCAGTAACGGGAGACTGACAAGTGCATAATTGTAAATTTGATGTGAATGAATATTAACATTAATACATATAGGCATGATATAAAAAAAAAAATAAGAATACAAAATAAACAATATATATAATACATATAATATACATCATATAAATAAAAAAATAATGATTATAAAAATTATGAATACGAACATTGTGCTAGAAAGTACTCCTTGAGTTTAGTTTTGAAAGATATGATAGAGGGGCAGTCTCGAATGTCTAATGAGAGTTTGTTCCATAGTCTAACAGCCCGTACAGAAAAAGAGTCGAAGAGAAAATTGGTGTTACTTTTAGGCCGCTCCAAAGTTTTAGTAACACAGTACCGCCGGAGACGGGATAGGAGAGGAAGCATCTGCAAACGGGAATTCAGGAATGTGGTTGAGTTAGGATCTTTAAGAATTTTGAAAAGGAATGAAAGGATGTACATATCACGGCGAAGACGGATAGGAAGCCAGTCAAGTTGAGCTCGAAAAGCTGACACATGATCGTATTTACGCAGTCCAAAAATGAACCGAATTGCGAGGTTTTGAAGGCACTCAAGCTTATTTAGTTGATCTTCATTCACATCCAAGTAGCAAATATCAGCGTAGTCAAGAATTGGAAGCAGGAGTGATTGCGCTAGCATAATTTTGGTTTGAAGGAGAAGAAAGTATTGAAGTCGTTTGAGAGAGCGGAAAAATAGTGCACCCGTTTGCTAACGTCAGCCATTTGCGGGAACCATGAAAGAGTACTATCCATAGTCAAACCCAGATTTTTTACTTTGTCTATGAATGGAATCGGTACACTGATGTATACGACTAGAGGTATGCAAGTCCAGTTAAGTTTGCTGCAGAGTCTGCCGACAATCATAGTAAGGCATTTATTTGGATTTACCATAAGACCAAATGAAACCGCCCATTCCTGAATGGAAGCAAGATCTCTATTTAAAGCATCAATGGTATCCAGAGCATCGTCGATAGAGTAGTGCCTATAGATTTGAAGGTCATCTGCATAAAGATGAAAAGGAGAGGAAATAACGGTAGAGATATTATTAATAAAAATAGAGAAAAGTAAAGGTGAGAGAACACCACCTTGTGGTACACCGGTCGACAAATTTAGCCAGTCAGAAGAAGAGGAATTGAATACTACGCACTGAGAGCGTTCAAAAAGATAAGATCGGAACCAATCAATGGTAGAGGCAGAAATGTTAAGCGAACAGAGAGTACTAAGCAAAATGTCAAAGTCAACGCAATTGAAGGCACTGCTAAAATCCAGTAGAACCGAGGCTGTAAGTTTCGTATTATCCATAGCATGGCGAATATCTTCAGTTATGTTCAACAGTGCACCAACTGTGCTGCGAGCAGGACGGAAACCAGATTGGTAAGGACACAAAAGAGAGTTTAAGAGAAAAGAGTAAAGTTGTTGGTGAGTGACAGATTCAAGTACCTTAGAGAGAATAGAAATAGGACGATATTGACTGAGTGAAGAAGGATTGTGAGTTTTAGGAAGAGGTATGACATGAGCTCTTTTCCAAGATGCAGGAAAGACATTGTTTTCCAAAGAGAAATTTATAATGTGAGTAATTATTGGAACAATGTTCTCCAGAACAGGAACTAACATGTCAATACTTATGCCATCACTTCCAATCATTTGTCTACGCTTTTCACAATTTTGGTCTCTATTGCGTATTTAGACATATTAATATCATTGATAAAAAGCCATTGATATCTCAAGCCAGAAATATTGTTTTTAATGTTTATAGCAAAATTTGTGAAAAGAAACTGAAAAGAGACTTTTTTTTTATTTTAAAGTGTGTTTATGAATGAGGAAGTATACAAAAAACGAAATTACTAAATAAGTACCTCCACTAGATGGCGATTCTAGCTAAAGTTGATTTGTGCAGGAGACGAATGGACAAAAACAATTATTTCCGTTCCTTTTAAATAACATATTAAAAAAATAAAATTTGAAAAGTTCGAAACTTAGATATCAATGCAACTACGAAAAAGTACAAATGGAGTATGAGTTGTTTATTGAGTTTTGAAAACTAATTTACTTTTAAACTTGAAAGAAAACCGGAAAGGTTGTCATGGAGAAATTAAGAAAGTACTGTACCGACATCTAGTTTGATTTCAGAAACTATTTTT